TGCAAAAACAGGCTAACAGAAGGTAACTTACGTGTTGCTTGCAACGCTGCATCATTGGCCTTTTGAATTGGATTTGCCATCGTGATCTTGAACGCAACACTAGCCGGGTACGCTTCATATGCAGCTTGGGAGAAGTTGAGGAAATCGGCTGGACCATCGATTTTGACCGCTACCCCAAAGTCGGCGTGGTTCTTGATGCTTGCCAACCAAACGAGATTCCCCGCGTCGTGATTCTTGATCATGAATCTCTGGAGAATGTCGCACTTGTTTGCCATGTGTATCAAGACCTCGTATTGGAACCGGGGCCAGGTGAAAGACACGATGTTCGCCTGAAAGGGGGCCGGGAGAGGACTCGGGACTATCCTCTCCCATTTAATAGGGGCCAAGGCTTTTTGTTGGCTCAAAAGACCATCCTTACTGAGCTCAACGTACAAGACATAGTCAACTGCAATGGCGGCGAACCGAGGTGATTTGGATAACATCGGAGCCGAATTTTGAAGATTGGGTTGGGCCGATTGGGTTTGAGTCTCCTCACAGAGAACTCTGGACAAAGCAGTGGAGGTTTTGGCAGCCATTTTGATATTATAAAAGGTTTTCGAGTCGGAGGTGGAGCAGTTGTGAGTTGGGGTCAAAATGTTAACTTGAAGAGGGTTGTATTTCTTGTTTGAAGGCAATGGCAACTGGAGTGGCCCATTCCGCGGCAAACGGGAGTCTTTATGTACTATTTTTGGGCCAAAGAGATGCAATGAAAAGAGCCGTGATGAGCACCCTAAAAAGATCAGTCAACCACGTACTGGACAAGATCTGTACCAGCGGATCCGTTGAGCTAATATCGATCTAAATGGATCTGATAGGATGAGAACATCCAATATGGCACATCTTCTTCAATAGGGCTGGGACAAATAGATCGATGGGTAGTAGATAATCAAATAATAGATTTCTTGACACTAAAAAAAAACAAAAAAAAAACAGAAGCCTATTTATTTCTAATGACGCACACACGGCGGTCTAACTAGGGAAGGTACAAGATATCCACAATGCCGATAAAGTTTTTGACAGAGATTTGCCGTCATTACCTGGACACACGCCCGCCGGAGGACCCATTCGGGCTCGTTAGTGACCGAGAGAGCCTGGGTTTTTCGCAGGTGAGACTTGAGACTCGCAAAACAAAGCTCAATTGGATTGAGTTTGGGACAATAAGGAGGCAGGTAAATCACCCGCACTCCAAATTCATCACATATCTCACCAATTTGAGCCCCTTGATGGATCCGAGCGTTGTCACAAACAAGCACTGAGTTTGGAGCGGGATACTTGTTCATGCGAGGCAGCTACCGGGTGCACACATAACACACATAGTCAGAGTCACAGAAATTAGAGCCAATGCAAGACATGAAATTGCTAACCAATGTCCACTTCAAGAAGTGTTCAAACTTGATACCATTATATGTATCCTCACGAACAGTTAAAGCAAGCAAGCCGTCGATTGAGATTGCCGGAAGGATGCTTAGGCGCTTGGAATTTTGACGCACAACGTAACGAGCCGCAGGGGTGCCACAGGGTGAACGCGCATGGGTCCGGAGCAAGTTACGATCACAAACTGCACTTTCATCTGTGTGTGAAAGACCAATAAATTACTGTGAGATAGAATGTAAGGAAGAATGGGAAGAATAGAGACCACGACTTACCAGTGAATACCAGATAGTTGGCCGGATAGAACGACATGCGAGCCACATAGCGAAACTTTTTGAGCAAGCATTTCCGAGAGTTAAGAGTTTCGGCCTTCTTCAACGTTATTGATAGGTTATTCACAAGATTTTCATGAACTGCTGTCACACTAAGTAACTTTCCTGTCGCATCATATAGTTTCTCGCGAATTTCGACCAAAAAAAGCCCGGGTTCATTGCGAACCAATTGCACCATGAAGTTCCGATCCTCAGAAGTTAGCGATCTAGGCCGGCCAAGGGACTCGTATTCCTCAGGATTTCGGATCACCCGGCGAGTTTGCTCATACAGGAATCGCCAGCGATTGAAAGACTGGTTGGAGATTTGTAAACCGAGAGTCTGGCGGATTGAGTCTCGAGATTCGCCTTCTATTGTCATCCGGACGACTATAACTTTGATGTTTGGAGGGTAGTACACATAAGGCATGCTTGTTAGTCTGGTAGATCTCTTGAGCGCAAGGGAAGAGGTGGTGGAAGAGGTGGTAGGAGAAAAAGTTGGGTTGGGTCGAGCGAGAAATTGAAATTAGTGGATGTGGGAAACTCATCAGGCGAAGAGCATGATGGTCGCAAGAAACCGCATGTCATGCAAGACACTGCATGACACCTGCATAAACTTTGTTGGGGGTTGAGTTTTGGACAAAAGAAAAATCTGAAAAAAAAAAAATCTAAATGCATACTTTTGTAGGATTACAAAAATTTCAAAACAAGAACCGATCCAAGGTTTCTTGCAAACACAATATCCGCAATCGCGAGTTTCACCGCCGTAAGGATTGGACTCGTATTTTAACATAGGCAAGGGTGTCTTTCGAAGTTAGTTTCTGAGGGCAATTTTTCGAATTGGATCAGATTTCATATGAATTACTATCTACTGCACGTTAGGGTCGTTTCCTGTCGTTATCTCATCCGGCTGGCGGCAAAATCAGTTCCCGGCGAAGGCAGTTTCAACTGTGATTAAATGGTCATGCCAAGCTTGGTCTTGATTTACATGTGTACCTGGGAATTACGGATATCGGCCCCGGGCCGACGTAGTGGCAAGGTCGCCCAGACCCCTCGGGGTCTAGTGGAGTTCTATCTCTCCAAAATGTTGAATGAGCTGCGCAGTCATAATGGAGACAGATTGAGTTTGAGCAGATGAGGTTTGTTCGACCGAACCGGGGAGGATAACGCCTTCAAGGAGGGAATCAGTGGAAGCTTTCGGTCCCGTCGCCACTCCAAACTAACAGGTAAGATACCGCCTAGTATTGATTGTCTAGGACCAAAGAGAGAATTGAGAGGCTGCCCAGACGAAGCGGGCTGAACGGGGATGCTCCGGAGACAAGGTCATCAAGTAAGCTGCGTTCCGTCTTCGCAGCCTTTTTCTTTGTTGGAATGGTGCTAAGACCCGGCATGCGGCTGGGTAAAAATGACGGTAGGACGTGGACGGGCGGCGACGACTCCGCCTCGGTAACAGTTTTGGACCCATCATCCACCGATGATGGGATCGGCTGATCCGTGACGGGAGTGACAGGAAGTGGCACAGCCATGGCCTCAGATGCAGGGCGCGAAGTAGCAGCCACGGAGCTGTCTATAGGACGAGGCACGTTGGCATTGGGTGGAGAGCTTGATTGATTGAAGTTATCTAAAAAATCTAGAAACATGCTGCTTTGGCGGCGTCGGAGGGAGTTGTTGATTTTGACCAAGGCTCTCTCGGGTTGAGCTACTTTGAGAGTGACTGCTCTTCGAGCGATAACCAATGCGTCCGAGGTGGTGTCATGGTGATCACCCGGGTCTGAGCTTCCCAACTGTAAGTCACTAGCCAAACCTCCGATCACTGGCAAGATGCTGACGAGCTCAGGGGTCAAGGCTCCCGTGCTGCCATGAGGTTTCGGATGTGGGGAGCAGTAAGATTGTTCGGCTGACAACAGGAAAGAAAGAAAGAAAAAACAATCAGTTTTTCAGCTCACCTTAGCTGCCGAATCTACTGAGTGAGAAGGAATTACCTAACAAGCTGATAGCCACGACAACGAAAAAATAGCTGATTAGTGTCATAATCGGTTATGATTGAGCAGGGCGACTCGGAAGAAACTCGAAGGTTATTAAGATCCAACGGTCGTGGAATGGGAATCCCCTGAAGACTCGAAAGGAATGACCAACTTGATATATCAAAAAGAAGACGGCTGAGTGGTTTGGTTGCCTGAGGGATAAGGAGAAAGGCACAATTGGTTGAGCGGTTTATACATCACCAAGAAGTTGACGATGGTATAATCAGCTGAAGCCGGCAAGAACCATAGATCATCCGTCATGTTGCGTGATCCAAAGCCATTCAACTTCAGGATAACTATTATTTAGCATGAATCGCGGAGATACTTGGCCGGAGACCATGTCTGAAAGGAGTGATAGTGATGGCGGAGTTCTCCCAATCGCCATCACTGCCCCCATGCTAGACAGCCAGACCCTTCAGCATCCCACCCTTGAAGATCCTAATCCTATGATTTTATTTGGGTACTGCCAACAATGTCGGAACAGTCTCGACACTTGCCTCCCTTTGGTTCCCGTCCTTGTGGCAGTTGTGCGCTAGCTATGTATTTAAATTCAGCTAACTAAGTCCTTATCGCTGCTATCAATAAATCCTCTACGCGCTGGTCAGAGAAGCTTTTAGAGTTTTCTGTCCGGCCTAACTTCGAACGAGCTTGGGTCGAGGGGTTGTGTGGCCTGATCAGTCCTCAATGTCTGTTGGCTAGAATTATTTGAGAATCAAATCGAGTCAAAAGGCTTCGAGTCCACAGCTCGACAAGCCCTAGGGCCAGTGCGTACCGGTAGACAGGCTGCTCACACCGGTAGCCCACCTGCTCGGACCGGAAGCCAGGCGACTACTTAATCCCAGCCGGTCCGAGGTTGGGTCCGGCAGAAAATGCTGCGCCTATGTATGCCAATCTGATTTGTCGGAGTCGAACGGCTGAAAACTATTTGGCCGGTAAAATTAGAAAGTGAATCCGGATGGCTTCATCGGAGCGGGTATTTGACTTTCAAGTTCCATCAAGTAATCCATCTTTCAATTCAACAGCTTTCAGTTTAACTTGTGGGATTTTATCATCCCAGCCAAGAGTTCATCCATATAAGGTTGTTTTTTGCAGCTGTTGTATTTTTGATGAGAACCAGATACATAATTACTCACAATTTTTCCATTAAGAATTTGAGAAAAGGAGTTCACAAATGTGACTGTCAGTTTTCCGGAGAGAAGTGAATACAAAGGGTAACTGGCATTTTGTTGCAAAGGAATTTATCTTGGCCATCATTTACTATCAGTGGGGTTCACGTTTGGATTTTTGCGCATGCAAGTTGTATAGTGAGCCTCAGAAACGCATAAAATAAACTTTTTGAGCATTTTTTGTAACTCACTTCATCAGCATGTGACCAATCAAGTCAAGGACCTCAGAATCCTTCCTTTGGGTTCTGTACAACACCTTAGCAACATGTAGGTACAGCTCAGTCGTTTTATTGTGTGACGTGTCCAGATGGTGCTCAGCAAGTTCTCAATTTTATGATATAACAAAGGGAGCAGAACAAATTTCAAGAGTAGGGTCAGAAGCAAACAAAAATCAAATGTGAACCCCGCTATTCAAGTTTTTTTTTTCTCACTTGCCCATCAAGCTTTTCTCTTTCCCTCTACTGAGTCTACTGAAATAGTCAGCTTTGCCTTGAAATTTAAGGAGGGCAGCTGAAAAGATCAACTTGTCAAGTTATTGGCCAAAACATCTGCTACATAAATATATGGAGTTATTGATGTACCACCTACAGCAAGAGAAATATGAGTGACTACATCATACAAGATCTGCATGATTTTTACAACAAATAATCCTTATTCTTGCACAACTTGTGATGCTTTACTCTCTTTTTTGACATTGTTTACTCCTGTCTTTTTTGCCCAAGTGCCAATTGCTTGATGGGTAGCCCTAAAGAACTTGGATCATGAACCGAGAACTACATCCACACAGTCTGCAGATGTGAGCTGATCAATCTGTTCACTGGTTGACTGACCTTTTTCATTAATTGATGGTCAATCAAAATTTCCTCCTAGATTTAATTACCTCTTTTTACTTTTGGGTATTGCTTGCCTGAGGTCCTTCCATCTTTGATTGGTTTGTGAAAATGTTGATCTCTGTGATTCTTGAATAGTCAAGTTGAAGTTGAGATGTTCCTTTTGCCAGAAGAAGAAAATGATCGGCTTATGTAATCACCGGTGAGAAAGGAGGTCTGTGTAATTATTTTTTCCATGCTGGGCTGCGCGCATTCTCCGCCCTCGGAGCTCCCTACTCAGGCGGTGTGCGCTGAGTCTTCCCCCGGCCAAAAACAATTGGGATCCGGTAGTGGTCAACAGAACCAACCACTTGAGGCCAACTCATTTATCAAAAACCAACAAACAGGAGCAAGGCGACCGCACAAACACACACACACACACACACAAACGAGCGATGAGCAAGCAGAAGATGAACACCTCAAGCTCAGTCCATCAACACCAACTCAGTCGGAAGAATAATGACTCACATTCCAGGAAACTACATATCAACTATCAAGACTTCGTTCCGATTACCAAGAAGACTAGCAACCCCCCTAATCCTCCTCCTAAACGGAAACGATCCCTTTCGGCTCTCAAGTTAGATCGTTCGTCTCATCCAATCCTATCTTCTCTTCTTCTACAAGCCAAATTGACCGCATAATACATGCTGACAAAATGTGAAATGTCTGTGGCGTTCAAAAACAGTGCTAGCTACTACCAGTCATAACACCCTCAACCAACCATTGAAGAAAAGCAAGCCTGGATTCTCTTTCCTCTCATCAGCATCCACCGCATCAACAACTTCACACGACACCGCTGAAGCCTATTCAAGAAGAATCATTTGCCATCACCCGCCAATCGGAATCCAATCCTTTTCAACATAACCAACTTCAATTCACTAAAACCCGCGGAGAAGAAGAAAGAAAAAAATCCAAAAGGTTCGATTCCAATCCCACATGGACCTATCCCACTAATAATATGAACAACAAATTTGAGATTCGAGTGGCTCATTTGATTGTCTTGACAAAATTTGAAACGACTTATCAGTAGATGACGTATTATGGAGATCGCTATTTTCAGAACTTCGGCCCAAACCAGCAGCTGTAGAAGCGCGTGCAAGCAATCCCTCTCCGAAACCGAAGCTCATCCCTATTGTCCCACCGGTCCGAGCGATGGTCTCAACGAAACCGAGCAAGCCGATCCATTGCCACGAGATCACGACGCCACTGAAGAAGACACGGCCTCCGAAAGCCGAGGACACCAGAGAAGACGCATCATGGAGATCGCTATTTTCAGAACTTCGGCCCAAACCAGCAGCTGTAGAAGCGCGTGCAAGCAATCCCTCTCCGAAACCGAAGCTCATCCCTATTGTCCCACCAGTCCGAGCGATGGTTTCCACGAAACCGACCAAGCCGATCCATTGCCACGAGATCACGACGCCACTGAGGAAGATGCGGCCTCTGCAAGCCGAGGACACCAGACGGGGCAGTGATCTGATTCCGGCGGGGTTGGCGATGGTCCGGCCCTCGAAACCTCCCGCGCCGAGTCGACAGATGCGTCCCATCGTCGCTCCTCGCGCATTCACCCCTATCACGCTCCCCAAACCACCCTCGCCCATGGTCTCACCTAGTAAGCGGAAAAACCGCGTCAACGCTCCGACTGGTGAACTACTCGATCGAGCTAGACGACTTATCGAGATCGATCAATCCTCTCTCAGGATGTGGCAGAGTGATCTAGATGCTGGTGCTCTCAGACCAGGAAAAACTAGGAAATTTCAAATTGTGAAAGTCGTCAAAGAAAACGGATCTCAAATCGCTCATTGTCTCGAAATCCATCCATCCACTACCACTACTATTACTACTGCTACCATCAACAACAACACCAATGGCCAAGCACTGACAGGAGACGACTCTAATAGTCCTACAATCTGGAAAATCTTATTACGCGGACCTGATTGCCATGTCAATGATCGACTGAAAATCTTCGCTCCTTGGTCGGAACTCCCTCCCAATATCCTCCTCTCTAACAAGTATATAACCAATTGAACAATACTCATAAAACCGTTGGATTAAGCGTCTCTGTTTCTTCTATATGTAGCTTTCTTGTACAAGATTGGATCTTCAAATTGACAATATATATGTTTGTATCTCATGCCTGTCTTCAATTTGTCTGCTCATACGTTATTCCTTTTTTTCATCTTCTAAGCAATCTTTGTATGTACGTAGATATCTATCCACACACATGTATCTTTCTTTTTCCGTTACCATATGTGATTTTTTTTTCTTCTTCTGTTCTTCTATATGTTTGCAAAAGATGATTGAATCGATCTTGACACTAGAAATACTTAGCGCATCGACCTTTGACCAGATTACCAAAGAAAGTAATGTTACCAGGTTTGATCCCTTTAACAGGATCCTACTACCTAGGATGATGATTGTCAAAGCCTCCGTTAATTATCAGAGGATTACTTAGCTACCTTACAACTGAACGACCCATGAGCTGATCAAGAGAAAAGACCAGACAAAGTGTTTTGCTTGACTGGATCCAAACATGTGTCCAACATAGCCAAGGAATCCAATGTTAGAGCAGGATATCGATCCGTGTAACTGATCAAGATCCCTGAGAGGAAAGCTGTCCCGAGAGAAATTGTGTTTTTGAAGCAGGATAAATCCGTCTTGAAGCTCGTCACTTGGATATAAAATTAGATTGTAACCGTGGACTCCATTTTTTTACCCGCACATATTCTTAACTGGCGACAAGGGGGAACGGCGCCTGATGTCAACCAAGCACGACCTTTTGTTGTTGTTGTCAATATGTATGAAGAATGGAGCTACATTAGCTGCTTGTTAGTTCCTGGACACTCCCCATTGTTTTCTTAACAGCATGAATGACTGATACACTCTCCCATCGGGCGTATATATATCCTGATAGCCTCGCAGAAGAAAGGGAAGGAATTTGATGTTCTGGCGCGTCGTTATATTGACGGACAGAGGGGGTACAGTGGTCATGATGTGTCTTGGAAAGTCAGGCATGAAAGGCACGGGTCGGGCAGTGCATCGGTTGTCTGACCGGGCTTTAGAGCGGGCAGAGACTGAAGATGACGATGATATGGCTATTCGTCATGACTCATAACGCGTTGTTATATCGGATTGGTCATTGGTCATTGGAGGGAGACGCGCAGCTGCTGGTCACAACTCATCCGACAAAATCCCCCAGTCCAAGAGCCAGAACCAACCAACAACGAAAACAAGACAGTCCTCAGAAAAAAAAAAAACACTAGCAAAAGATGTCGATCATCAACATCAGTTGAGTCATTCAGTCTTCAGGATGGAACTCGCCTTGTTGTTGTGTCTGACGTTTGGGTGGTCTGTTTTCCAGCTGACATCGTCGTCCTCGAGAACCCGGCCAAGTTCACGGACCCATACCGATTCAAGATCACCTTCGAATGTATCGCCCCCCTCGAAGATGGTAAGCCCAAGCGGCAGAGCTGTCTCCAAAAGTGCTTCGAAGGCTTGACTATTTTTGACGTGCTTTCTTTGTTTATGTAGATATCGAATGGAAGTTGATCTACGTCGGCTCCCCCCAGACAACCGATAAGGATCAGGAACTCGACACCTGCATGGTCGGCCCTGTGCCCGTTGGCGTCAACAGCTTCACGTTCGAGGCAAGTAATCATCATCATTCATCTGCTTTCCCACGCCCGATCGATCGATCACCTCACCCAGAATCTGCTTCATAAAGTTCTAACAATATGTACCTTTGGGTGACTTCCAATGTGTGTGTGTTTCGTGTGTTGATCCAGGCGGCGGCACCGGACCCATGCCAGATCCCAACGAACGACATTGTTGGGGTGACAGTGATCCTGTTGACGGCCTCGTACAAGAACAAGGAGTTCGTCCGAGTTGGATACTATGTCAACACCGAGTACGACACGCCCGAGCTTCGAGCGCTCTACCCGGACACCGAGCTCGTGACGGACGAGATGCTCAAGAAGAGGCCCGACCCGCCCTTGATCCCCCAATTGGTCCGCAACGTGCTTGCCGAAAAGCCCAGAGTCACGCGTTTCAAAATCACCTGGTACGTCACTTCATCATCATCCTCTTATTTTCATTTTTTTTTTCAGACTTGAAAAACTGATAGTCTCTATCTTTGGTCACCGTTCTTTTCTCTAGGGACTTGCCCTCCCAACCTGAGCCCGAACAGCCCGTCGCCAAAGAAGGCGAACCCGTCAGCCTCTTCGCCCCCGTCCCGCTCGAACAAGCCGCCCCGCCCGTCACAAGCACCTCGACCAACCCCTCCTCGGCCCAAAAGATCGTCCCCGAATCCATGCCCACCAACCCCGCTCCATAGACTTATCCCTTCTCAGTCTGACGACGCCTTCATAAATATTCCTCCTCAATCAGCTCATCCTCTTCTTTTGTTGACCAATCCCCTGTACATAGTAGACCCTAAACCCCCCTTCCCCTCCTTTCTCTACATAAAAAAATCAAACCAAAAAATCTAACAACAACGCGTCTGCGCTGGGCTTTTGCTTTTCTTCTTTCGTCGGATGTGCTGATCGGCTTCTCTTTTTTTCCATATTAATTATAATGATAGTATACGAACAAATGAGATAAAATTTCTGGTTGTGATGAGGTCCTTTTGACGCAGTAGTCATGTGCGCTCTGAGCCTTAGTGAAAAACCGTCACGATTAATATTCTGAGGTCTTGTTGGTGTTTCTGGCCATGTCCTCCGTGTGGACTTTGTTCAACAACCAAAGACCATGCATGCGTACACTGCTAAGCGAGTTGATTGGATTGGGTGGGATAAGGTTTATTCCGAAAGCTTCTTCAAAATGCTTTGGAATTGATACGCCAGATCAACTCTGGGCCCACAAACCTAACTACATGGGAATGCTCTGTGGCTAGTAATGCCCCAGTTTTTGAGTTTCCGGATCCTCAGCTTCATCGGACCACGTGGATGATTTTCAATGGTCTCTCAGCCTCTCAGAACTCATTTCCTTGCGAAAGTTGCAATATAACAATTGTCGCGACAGTCTAGGGATCCACATTTGAACAAACAGGTACATATAGAAACGTTTCTTCTTTTAGGCTCCGCGTCACTGCTCGATGTCACCTGAATGTAGGAAAGATTAGGAATCTGTTTCTCATATATGTCCCGACACTTTTTTATAGCCTTGGTCTGACACGTCTTGGCTTACTTTCAACACAAGCAAGAAGCCGACTGTGTGGACCGCTCTCAGGCGTCGTCAAGGCTGTGTACATAGCTGCTGCATCTGGAAGAAAGCAAAGCCACACCTTCAGATATTATGCCAGTTCAACTACGCTAACCTGGTGGATCCAAGAGAGTGTTTGCTATCTTAGATCGGCCGAGAAGGAAATCTAGGAATCTCACCTTCACACACGTCACACAACCGTGCCGGACCCCATGCATCTCTCACTGCCCGGCAACGATGATTGTTGCGCGCGCGAATGCCCGAGGTAATGATGCCGATTGGGTTATCAACATTTAACACTCTGGAGAATATGATTGCAGTTGGTATTCATGTAAAATAAGTGGTTAAGGCATGCATACGTCTGCTTCCACTTTTGACCGTCGCAAATACATTGACAAAGCCGATGCACTGTCATCGCGGAGGCCACTATTGTACTGTTTTTGTACTTGATCAAGAAACTCGCCAAGAATTTAGATGGGAAGGAATCTCCGAGTACTGAGTCTGGCAATCCTGATCGAGGTGCACCACCTCATCCTGGCCACCTCTGAACCGCCCAACCTTTCGTTCTCAGAAGATGTATTAGCTGCTCGCCAGTTTCGGGAGCCTGACTCAGGCTCATGCGGCTTGCTGGAAGATAGCTCGGGATATTCCAGCAAACAAGCGGGCGAGGACCCTGTGTCTCTTCTGATGACGTCCCAATCCAGACACGCTTTCTTGTCTCGTACTTCTGCCAGTAGGAGGATTCCGCCAACATTAGAGCTGCTTGATGGTTCTGATCGTCAGTTCTTTCACCTCAAATTCACCGTTTTCTTCCCCTTGTAAATGAAAATAACGGATAATGTCATATTTCCTTGGTTGGGATCTGGGTTACACATAAATCACCCGTTCCAGATCAGGGTGCTTCTAGTGTGAGTGAAGCGATGAAAATGAAAAGGCCGGCGGATGTCCAACCAAGTTTCCACTCCAAGCTCTCGAAAAATGAGAAGGGAGGCTCTCATAACGCTCGCCTGGACTTGAGCTTATCCTTGGATCTCCCCGGACGGGGCAACGGTCCAGCCAGCCCTACCCGTCTAAGGAAACCTGGACCTATCGGTAAGTCATGCTTGCATTACTCTATATGATCACATTTTCAAAAGAAAATCAAATCAAGAAAATCCCAAGAAAATAGCACACAAAGTCTCAAACCGGAACAAGGAAGAGCAGCTAGACAGTCTGAAAGCTCAAATTGTTTGCCGGGAATTGTCATAGGTCATTATGAATTGAACCGCCCGATTGTATCAGGAGCAGGCCAGATACCCGTCACAGAGGTCCGAGCCGAAAGCCATCCGGCGCTTGGAAGTCTGCAAGGTCATATCAGATCTCGATTTCTTCCAGCCATAGGAAGGCTCCAAAAGAATTACACGCCCCATCAGGCGACGGGCGGACCTCTGAGACAATTGATGTTAGAAACCGAAGTGGAACGGCGGCTTCAGATGCCCAATAAGTTCAGCTTCCAAGCTGGGAAAATATTGACGGTGAACCAGCCCGACATGGCTCGAACAACCAACCCTCTGATCTCGAACGAGGCCTCCTCCTTCTCGAAATCGGACTGGGAAGAGCGCGTGTTCCGCTTGGAGGACATGAATCCCAAGCTGTGGGCGTGGTTCTCGATCATTTGGGAATATGTTCGGGAGTCCATCGTCGAGGAAGTAAAAGTGCACATCACCCCTCACATCCCCACCTTGACAATGGCCTTCCAAGACCCTGAACCAGGAAAATATCGTTTGAATCCCTTAGGACTACTCGAGAAACAAGTGCAAGACTTCGCGTTTCTACTTTGGGCAGTCAATCTTAGGACACTCGAAGTCCTCGGCACCGATCGATCTGGTGGACTCTACATTCAAGAACAAAACGCTCTCTTTATTTGGTTCTGTCACTTCGCCTTGATCCATAAAAAGTATCAACAGATTGGGTTCTCAACAAGCTTAACCGAACAAGCCAGAGATCTATACGATCGGATCACGGAAGCCATCCATTGTGATGAATACAAAGCAACCTACACGTTATATCGAGCGAATCTGATGAGAAAAGTCGTCTCACAGAAGCAAGTATTGATGAATCAGGCCGTCGTTCTTACTCTTGCGTTCTACTACAAGAATGTCAATGAAGAGAAATGGTACCAGGTGTTTGGGGGCGAGCGGAAGTTTGCCCTGAATGTTTCCAACTATGGGTCGGACTGGTTGGACCGACCTATGAAGGAGCTCAAACGAGCCAGAGGGGATCCGATTGCGAAAGAAGATCTGGGGGAAGCTCCAGCGGATGATCCGGTCCTGCTCCCGTGGAGAGAGGCCTGCACACAAGCACTCCCTTTCCTCACTTCCAATCTTGCCATCACGTTGGTCCAATTCGATCAGTTCGTCATCGATCTTAAGACTTGCTCTGATATCGACTGGATTCGTGACCTTCATAAATATGGGAATAGGAAAGAATTCATCTTTGGAAAATCGAGATCTAAATACTCAAAGTCTCTAATCAATTTTAAATCCCATAGAACTCCTCAGAAAAAAAGAAAAAGGAAAAATATCATTAAACAAATGTGATTTCATGTGTACTGCTTTTATTATGTTGTTATTTTTGTTTTGTTTGAAAGAAACCTTTCTCTAGCAGAACGGAATTCAAATGTCAAATTTGCTAGTTATGGATGGTTTCCATAAGATATGAAGAATCCACACAATTCGATTGAGTTTGAATGTTTGATGTTTCTGAGTGTTATGAACATCAAGGAGGCAATGGAGGATTGTAGAAATCCTTGAAGGAAGGCAATAATTAGGAAACAAAAGAAGAAAATACACAGTATTTGTGGGAAATGAGTGATCCCAAAGACATGTGAGCCATGAAGAGAGAGGGAATGTAGAGCTCATGCTTTGGTGTAACACTCATGTGATAAAGAATCAGTGTTCTGACAGAAATCATAAATGGAGCTAAGAACAGAAACAGAGAATTCCCAATAATACATGCATTGATTGACATTGTATCTACATGAATTCCAATATCCATTGGGACTAAGCTGTGGTGAAGCAGGGGAAGAAATGGTAGCTGATATTTCTATGGAATAAAATACATGAGTTGCAGGAAACAAGGAAAATAAATACTTGTGATCATGATGACTTGCTAACTTAATACAAGTCCCTCCGAGGACGAAGTGCCCCCTCCTGCAGGGAGGGACTTGCACACAAAGTCAAATTCCTAGCAGCCTATGCAGGGACAGGAATCACAACTACATACTGGAGAGAAAATAATAAGCCACAGTAATCTCCTCCCTGACTCCCTATAGACTTTCCCCAGAGAAACAAATACTTGTGCATCCCAGCTTTCATTTGGTGCTGGTCTCATCCCCTCAATCCTTTCCACTACTGATCCACCACATTGTTCCAAAAATAACAAAAAATGCAACTATTGGAAAAACCTATCCTCCAAGGATCCACAACCACTCATACATTGTGGTACCTGGAGCTCCACTCTGATCATCTTGGCAAATCTTTCAGGCAAGATTTGTTGCTTGCCATTCCTATGTACCACTGAATTCTACAAAGACCTTACAACATTTGCAAATCCTTCAGAAAATCTGAAAGTGTATTGTCAGAGATATGGAACATCCTTTAGGCTCCATTTGACCTCCAAAATAGATTACTCAAGTCATCTTTTTTTTAAAAGCTTCAAAAAATTGGGAAAAATTGCACATGAAGAAAGCCAACAAAATTGTCTATTCAAAATTTTGTGAAAAGATGATGTGTTTCTTTTTTAAAAAAAACAAAATAGTTTTTGGACTGAAAATACCTCCTATCTCTCAAAGCTTTCCAACATAATGCACAAGCCTCTTCTACGCAGAGCACTCCATGCAGGCTTCCCCAACACTCCTTGACCTTCCAAGGGGATTGTTAAGCTAGGATGACTTGCATGTGCCAGGTGGCAATGTTGACAGAGGTTATTCTCAATGGAAACTGGAAGATCCACTGATTGGAGGGTTTAGCAGCTTTGGCCCCTGTGATTGTCCTCTGTGCATACACATTGAACTCAGATATATTATTGGACTTTCTTTTTTTAAATCAGCACTGACTCAGAACAGGGGAATTGCTTCCCAAAAACCCTCACACCTCCACAATCACATGATTATCTGTTTTTGATTTTCAAACAGATTTTTGCAGTGTGATCCCACCTGGGAGAAAAATCATTACACACCAGATAGGAACTGATGGCTACTCACAAACTGAATTTCCATGTGGCATTCTCATCATCAAATCAAATATGCCAGCTGGGACTAGATCATCAAAACTGTTTTCCAGATCAATGGAAATTGCTGCAATATGGAGGTCATCAACACAACCATAGTATATAGCAACAGAGGTGTGACAGAGAGGTAAGAGTGTGAACAAGGACAGAAAACCGTTCACAAGTGATTTAAAAGACTTTCATTTTGTATCAATGGCTGTAAACCTAGTTTTGTGAAACTATTGAACCTATTTAGTTCTCTAAACACTTTCCCTATTTTATACATGTGTTTATTCTTCAGCTTATTTAGTGCAGCAGTGATTTCTCTGAAACCTAATTGATCTTTATAAAGCAGCATCTCTTTTTTTGTATCTGTTTTCCTTAATCAATCAATTGTTTCATTCAAACCACTTTCCACCTTATCACTAACCTCAATCATGTTTAGGTTCATTTCTATTTCAAACTCTCACTTTGTGTATCAAGCTTTAACTCTGTTATCTCTTTTTGTTTGTTATTGTTCAAGTTCATATCAGTTCTCTGGTGTAGATATCTAATATCACCTTCACTCTTGGGGTGTGTATCTGAATAAGCAATGAATAAATCAATTGTTTCATTTGAACAAATTCCCATCTTATCACTAACCTCAAACATCTTTAGGTTTGTGATTTTTCAAGGTCATATCAGTTGTATTGTGTAGATAGCTAATATCAACTTCACTCTTAATGTTTGTAATGGTTTAAGGCTGTATTGGATGTCTTCCCGGCGCGGTTTACAACCCTCCCAGAATTTAATTTACACCCCCTAGATCTTAATTTTGGGAATAGAAAATTGTTTTTTCACAAGCCTTGTAAAGACAGCTCTCATGTGAGCTGGTTGGAAGTATGATTGTGGTGTTAATTTAGGACTGGGGAGGGCTTAAAAAGCACTCTGAATCACGAATGGAAGTCCTCCATTAGCTGTATTGTGTAGATAGCTAATAAAACCTTCACTCTTAAGCCCGTGGTTCATTATACATGTAAATAGAACAAATCAAATTTTCATCTCAGATATCTGACTAAAGAAACTATAAAAGTCTTATCATATAGTCTTCCTGTGTATCAAGCTCCCAGGCCTGCTGCTTTGTGTCAGGTTTATGCTACTTACGCTAAAGGATCGCAGTGCTGTAACTGTAGACTGGAAAGTATCAAGAGGAGTCCACATTATTTCTATCAATGCTCAGGACAAAATGCGCTTGAGAATTACTCAAGCTTCCTGTAGCTAACAGCCAGGGCAATCCAAATCTCTTACAGATCGTAGAGTTGGGAATAAAGGGAATTGGATAACAAGCAATAGATAACAACCTGTGTTACCAAGGCTTGTATAGTTGGGAATCAATTAGTTTTAATAACTATTTATAAGATATAAATAATCCTAATCAAGAGGTAGTTCTAAAGGAAATTCTTGAGTGAGTGCTCTTTGAGGTAGGTGTTTTCGATGTATATCTTTATGAATAGTAATAATTGTAACTCTAAGGAAAAAAGGGAAGACTCTCCTTCAGCTCTCAAGTCTTTTCCTTAAATATTCTTGGCTTCTCTTTTGGGGTTATCCCCAATATATGAACTATGAGCTCATAGCTCAAGTTTAATTAAGGGTCCTCATTTAGACCGAGGTAGCCTATTTCTTTTTTAGGTGAGTCTCTACTCAGCACAATTTATGTTCTGTTTGTCTTATGCAAACCTCCACTTATTTGTTTATCTGTTTATGATCTCATCAATCTTATGTTTTTGTGTAATGTTTTGATCTCATCAATTTTCTATCTTATGTAATTTTGATTATTTGTTTTTTACGTGTTTTCTCTCTCTATTTTCTTAATCTTGTATTTATTATATGGTTACAACTTTCTAACTCTGCATACTTATAATTATGTGTTGTTCTTATTTTATCTTAGTTTCTATATTACTTGTCACTGTCAAGAGTGTTACTACAGGTGTTACACTCTTGCCTGTTGACACTTTGGCTGCAGTAGTATATGGGACAATATTGATCTAAATGAGTCAAAGAGAGAGAGAACAGTTGAATTTGGCAAATTCAGCAACTAGAATCAGTCATAAGGAGAGGTGATGAAGCAGTGATGGAGAAAAAAAACAGAACCACTTTCTTCCATGGCCAGCTGAAAAATTGTACGAGCCATGTATTTGATTTGATAGTGATCTCTGAAAGTGTATGTATGAATGAAGGAACAAATCTTGCAGCGGATTACATCCTTGCAAAATTTGTTGCCAATGCCACCAGTGAAGAGCACAAAAAGAACACCATACTCAAGGGTTTGAGTGCTGGTCTCAGCCTTCTTGGATGTAACAGGCTCACTTATAGTCTTGTTGAGTTTTCCTGTTTTCTGCCTACTCCTTCCTAAATTCCCTTCCATTACCTCAACGGTGGGCCAGCTACGCTAACCGTAGCGTTAGTGTAGTGTAGTGTAGCAAAAAATTGCTACAATGTAGTGTAGCGTTAGCGCATTTTTCAATTTCTGCGCTAACGCTACGCGCATGGGGGAAAAGTTTGCGCTAACGTTTAGCGTAGCGTTAGCGCTATTCCCCCCATGTGCGCTAACGCTACGCGCACAGGGCGCAAAAAACCGCCCGCTACGCTGTGTTACAGCCATTTTTAGCGTTTTTTGCGGCTAAAAACGCTGTAGCGTAGCGGCGCCAGCGGTGCGCTAACACTACACCAAAATTTGGCTAGTGTTAGCGCCGCTACAAGTTAGCGTAGCGCAGCGGCGCGCTAACACTACACAAAAAAAAATGGTGCTGCTACATGGGCCTGTAGCGTTGTGTAGCGTAGCGGCCCACTGCTGATTACCTTCTTTTCTTTTCTTTTGAATCTTTATGAATCAGACTGGATTATACTCACTAGTAGCTTGCTTTTTTAATTTCTCATGCCCTCTTTTTTGTCTAATTAGAACACTAAGTAGAAGCTTTGTACTGCAACTCATGACTCAACGTGATTTCTTCTTTTTCCTGGTTCCTGACTTGATTTCTTGAAATCTGATTACTGTGAATTAAAACTTCAAAGTATTTGTGATTTAAGATGTTTTCTCTTTACTAACCCATCTAGCTTGACTAAAATAGAATGAGATGTTTTGCCTGGTTTGTTATTTTCAAGAACTCATTTTATCTTCTCTCAGTTTTTATTCACAAATATTTTTTATTAATTTTCTTTTGACCACTTATTTAACCACTTGTATCTATTCTATTTAATCCTGGCTATTTGCAAGTGAATAACATCATTGGTTCTTTCACTCATTTTTCCGTGAACTTCTCCCAAAAAAGGTCTTCAACCTTTTTTGCAGAGAATCGGAGCCTGCGCGAAATGCGGAAGATTTCCGTGCGGATCTAGTCAGTGCGGAATTTCGTACTAAGCTGTACAGACCAGCAGGTCCATCCGGATTGGGAGGCGGGTTTTGGACTGGTTTCATCAGTGGGCTGGGGTCGGTCCAGTTTCATCATTCTACTCGGTGGAAGCTACACATTATAGAAGATAATAATTAGCGGTGCAAGTTTCGGTACTTTCTATCTTAAATTAATATACAAAAAAGAGATGATGTGATGAGTTCAAGAGAGATTTCAATTTCCAGAAAAAAGAGGGGGGGGAGGAAGAACGCGAGCATGAGGAATGCCAGTTGAAAAGGCATGAAAAGCGGGCATCAGTCAATCGGCAAGATCCTTAGCCAAGAAGCGCAACTGGTCTGCATATATGATCCACCAGGATGAGCTGGGCTACTAGGTCTATGATCGATATCGAGTTTTATGATTGATATTGAGGTGGATGATCGATCGAGTCTGAGGCGATTGTTGAGTCTTACTGTTAGCCTGTTGCTCTCCTCAATTATTCTCAGTCTGTTGATTAGCTGATGATGCAGATGACAAGGGAAGGGTACGTATCAATCTTCGACCCTTGGAGGATGGCCGTAAAACGGGGACTTTAGGACCTGGGACGGCCTTGGGACAATGCCATCCCATGGCTGGACCCAAAATCCTCAATTGCACCCGCGGTGTAAGTCTTTGAATTTTTTGATCAGAACTAAGCTCAAGGGATCTCAAGACTCTTCCGCTCGCCAGCTTTATCGAGGTGAACATTAAAAAGTTCCGTATTTCTCTTCATAGACATCTTTCAAGACTGGATATGACCAGTCAGCACGTCGATGTGAGCAGCTGAATTGCTCTTGTCGTGCTCCTTTTTTAAATGCATCTGTTTTTTTTCTTTTCTTTTTTTTTCCCTTGATGCTGTTGGAAAGACCTTTCCGCTTTGGAGAGACCTTTCCGCTTTTGGATTTTGAAACGGATGTGCTCACTAGAAACCTTCCGGAGTACATGCTGTATTTTTCCGCGGTTTCCGCGGTTTCCGCACTTTCCACCTTGCCTCGGGGAGGCTCCGATGCTCTCCTTTTTTGTGCCATTTTGTCAAAAGCCTTCAACTTCAGCCGGTTCAGAGCTCAAAAATTCAACAAGTCTCAACGGGTTCATGTTCAGCCAGGGGTTTGATGAGTTGTTAAGGTCACTTGAAGCAATGGGTGTGTGCCTTGGGTGCAAAAGCCACTTCCTTCCCACCAGCTTTGATGTGGAGTATGGTAGCATCACCCAGATTATTCCATTGAAGACTACCTGACTAGCACCTGTCGGATTGATTTGGGCCATCAAAGCAGTTGAGGTGCCTTGTTGAATTTGAGGATCATCAGTCACCCCTTGACATGCTTTTGAGAGTAGTGATTGGGTACTTTTGTTTTCCTTGTCAGGAGACTGTTTGTCCAATATCTTTTGACATGGAACATTACTCCTTGCAACAATTGAGAAGAAGGTTCCAAAGCTTGAGCACAGATGCCGCCCCCATCAGCTACTCCCAGATATGTTGACCAGAAGGGATTGGTAATGGAGCTGTTGATGAGCCACTAATCATAACTGGAGTGTGTTCCCAGTATTTTATACAGTAGATGTTGGAGTGTGCAATGGTTTGGTATAATCTAGGAAACCCACCTCCACTTCACTGGATTTACCCACTTTTGGACTTCTGTTGAATCATCTTCCAAATTGTCCAGCTATGAATCATCACTGTCAGTTCTTGATGCATGGCATTGACTGATTTACAACTGATAAGAATCATGAATGGTGAAATTCAAGTCAACTTACAGGTATGGATCTGTGGTAGTTGTTTCTTCCGTGAAATATGACAGCAGGATGAAATTAGCACATATGTATGAGCTTTGCAGTTTGAAAAGGAACATGAGACAACAGAGCCTTGTGAGCAACAAACCAAAGGGCCAGACGTGCAAGATGCTCAAAGGATAGCAAACATACAGTCTCCATGTAATCGGTGAGACTGTGAAGCATTGTGTGGCACCAAAGAAATCCAGGCACACTCACAAGAAAGCATGATAGGACCCAGGAAAGCCCCTATAGAACACAGTAACCAAGAAAACTGATATTTTTGAAAAATTCATACATTTTTTTGAGCCCAATCATACATGTTTCATGCATAGGTTAAGCACTTTCCAGAAAATACATACATTTTTGGTTTGTACCTTCAGCACAGGGGGGGGGGGGGGTAAAAGAGGCAAGAAAAAGGGGGAGAGGCTACATAACCATACACCAGTCCTCACTTCAAGGGGTCTAGTTGCTGGTGCAAACAGCCCTATGAACTACACATCAGCCAAGCATTGGACCTGGGCCTTCAAGTTAAAATGGGCGCTTTGGGGAGCATTGTGGCCAAAAGATTTGTGACTATCATGCACCTTTGGTTACTTCCTCCCCTTCTTCAGGGAAAAATCCATACATTCGGGGTGGGTAGCTTTCTGGGCAAAAACAGCAATTTGTAGATTTGGGGTGAGTACCTTTTTTTGGTTTTTGACCAAAAATTCATACATTTTGGTTACTGTGTTCTATAGGGGCTTTCCTCGGTCCTAGCATGATATAGTTGCAAATAAACTGCAGGTACATTTGCCTACATGGAATGTTGTACTTGGAGATGAGGTGGATGGTTAGCAAGGATAGAAGGAAGAGTGGGTCAACTTTTATCATAAAGTACCCAACAACCCATTAACGAGTCCTTTGTCCTGAAAGCTGGCCCGGCTCACGCGTGCCGCCAACAAACCATGAGTGTGCTCCTTCGTCCTCAGTCGGTCGACACTCCACAACCCCACGCGTCAGGTTACAGCTGAACGGATGGCGATGCCTTTGTGGAGCGATGTCCCCCCCCCCTCTGATCCACTCCCTTTCATCAATCCATCATGTGGTCACAATCCACTCCTCCTTGCCGTATCAATCAGCCGAAAAAAAGAGCAAACAATCTCACACGATATATGGGTAAAGATTCATACCTCGCCTTTCGAGGACTCCGTGCAATCTTTTTTATCTTCATTCTCTCAACGACCCTCCACGAAGCATGTCAGATGGAAAGAACTTCTCTTTATTATAGGCTTCTTTCTCTACACGGGTTTCCAGTCAGCATTATCGGGCCACGGGTGGAGGTTTTGTACTGTGCACATGAGAAGGAGACCCGGGACAGCGGACAAAAAAAGGATTGAGGGCCCTATGTTAGTCAAGACAGGTCTCGACCGAACAAGCTGTTTGGACAGACACATCCATTCCTGGGGAGCTACAGCAAAACTCACAACTGTTCATTAATATCCTGCCTTCGAGGGTTGATGATGCAGAGGCTGTGCGATTCCCCTTTAGCGCCATCATGGTTGGATGTTTTTTTTTTTTATGAAATCACCCACCAAGAGAGAGAAAACACATACTCATTTATCTTTTGAGTTCAAACTTCAAATCTTGGGTTGATGCATAGCCTACTACAACTTTGGCCGGAGAAGCTTCACACTTGTTTATAAATTTGACGGGTGATGAGATCCCATTGACAATTTTATTTGTTGTCTATTTACATATTATCGATTTATTTACATAACCTCACTCAGGTGATGTGCTCACTACATACTCAGCGCAAGGTGAGCCGTCTTTTTACGATTTTTACTCGGAAAATCGTGTTGAGCATCTGTTCCGCTGAGGTGTCTGAGTTGACTCAAGTCTTTGGGAGTGGGGAATAACGGACGGGGAAGGTTGAAGTGAGCGATGTCTCGTCTCCACCAGTCCCCGTTACAGGCTGATCAAAATGAATCAATGATGATGAGGAGACGGGTGCCGCTTGGAATGGTATCAATGGTTCGTTGGAGGGCTATGTTGGCCGAGACGAGGAAGTCGGCAGGAGAAAAGTGAAGCATCCGCTCCCCATCCTTGCCGCTCGGTGAAGTTCACTTCAGTCATTCATAAGGAGGAGAGGGAGAGAGGAAAATAAGAAACATAGGATGCAGACTCAGTCGAGCTAAAAGCACTGCCGACGCCGGAGTGAGTATAAATGAGCTGTCTCACTCAGAATTTCCAATCCTGCACCATTGGCGTGCTCATCATCGACATCATCATCATCATCAATCGGTATATAAAAATTTGTGCCCCATTACCGCAGAGCCCTGTGAGAGTAAGACTTCCCACGCCTATCAAAGTTTCTTTTTCTGGCTTGCTTGGTGTTCTCTGTTTGTTTGTTTGTTTGTTTTTTTTTCCCTCTGGCTGTTGTTTTTTTTTGTGTTCTTGTCTTCATGGCTTGTCCTTGACCAGCCTTGACTCCGATCCGAACCCCCCAATTTTATCTTGCTTAGCTGGCAGGATCCTCCCTGTTTCCTGCTCTCCACTGCTCCTCCCCTCTCTTCCTCGCTTAAAAAGATTTCCTTCTGTGCTGCTCAATCAGTCCTTTTAGTCCGCTGTTATCCCAGACGAAAGTGTTCGCTGCTCTTCATTTATATAAAAACAAGATCATCTCAAGATAGTTCGACCTGATCTTTTCGCACGACCCTTTACACCTCTTAAGATTGGTGGCCATATTGTCGCCCACTGTGATCCTTAACTTTCACTTGAGAGCTGACTTTTATATATGCACCTGGACTTACTTCCCTCTCCCACACTTTGAAATTTCCGACACTCCTCTTCTTCTCCCTCTTCCACGACTTTTGACTCCAGTTATCACAACAGTCTGCGAGAGCCTAAGCACTATGCCATTTTTTTTCGCGAGTGCTTACCGTACATAGTTTCAGCAGCCGATTGGTTTCCTTTATACCAGCGTTCTGGGGATATCTGTTCACATTTCCTTGTTCATCTTCTCTGGCACCTTGCCGTTTCTTGTTGTTGGAACCGGGGGACAGTCTCTTCATTTCTTTGGGCTTTTAAGTTGAGGCCTGACTTTACTTCCGCTCGATACTTCTCACGCGCCCAACTTAACGCGTGACGATAGCCAGATACTGCACTTCCCAGTCTCCCTTCTTGGGCCATTCTTCATCGAGATAGTTGGGATCGCCGACAGACTAAAGTCGATTGATCATACACTTCTCGCTTATCCGTTCTCATACTACGCACCTCTATCTTTCTCATCAGCTTGGCACCCCACACACGCACCCGCACAATCGACAGCCGGAGTGGACACGAGCCCGGATTAAAAGACCGAAGCATGACTCATTACGGCGTCATCGGAGCCACAACCGTCTCCCATCTGCCATCAACCTCGGCCCCATCAATTGAACCCGACAATCAGGAGAACCATCAGCACCTCCAACTTCGACCAAGCTTGTCCAATCAGCTCTCACCTTCATATCCTTCGCCCCCCAGATCGACTGCGTTAACCGAGCTAACGAACCGTATCAAGGATGAAGACACGATAAATGTAAGTGTTAATTAACTATCGGCGCTCAATGATCCAGCCTTCTCTTTCTTTCTTCATAATATATATAATCCAGACTGACTCCACCCCCGGGGGGCAGACGCGCCTGCCACATATTGACTCTTGATGCATGTATGCATGTATGCACCCACCCGGGGGACCCGTCCCAACCCCCGAAGATAAGGACTGACAGTGCTGTTTTTGTATGCAGTCCGACTTTCACATCGTCTCCTCCCCCACTCCGGATCACCACCACCCACTGCTTGGCCATCCACCACAGCCCAGCCAACCATCAACCGAGATCCATCCCTTGGATCATCACTACCACTATCAATCTCAGCCGCCCTCTTCACAGCACCAGCAACAGCAGTACCCTTCCTCACACTTCCAGCCCCTTTTCCAGCACCAGCACCACCATACCCCGCCCACCTCCTCAGATGTCTCGTACAACACCAGCAGCAATAACACGCTCCAGTCCAACTTTCATCCCGATCACAGCCTTCCTCACTCCGATCCCTTCCAGCCCTCTCCCCCCTGGTCACACTCCCCTCATGGCGATCCACTCGACCTCAACCATCGCAACCTCGCCCTGTCCACTCCGATCTCGACCAAAGGGCTGAGCAGCACTGAGAGCACTCGCAATTTCCCACTCAGTCGCTTGCTCACCATACCCTACCAGCTCGACTCCCCAGAGCCAGTCTGCTCCAGCCTCGATGGATATCATATCCCCACCTTTGGCTTACCTAACCTTGATGGCACTCATTACCCATTCAACAACGGTCAACACTCAGTCAGCCACCCTCACCGGTTTGGTTCCCAGCACAGCAATCAACTCAAAGCACTCCATCCGATCCCGAGCATCGACCACCACCACCAACCATCGGCTCCGGCTGACTACGCCTCCCGATCCCCGCCTCGGCTCAACCACTCATTCCGTCTGCCGTCCACTCCTTCCGACTCCTTTCCTTCACTCCTGCCAAGCCATCTAGCCCAGCCTGCGCCGGAAGGGCCGGTCATCGGCCAGAAGAGGAAGTACGACCCAGACTGCTTCCCGGAAACCTTCTCACCCAAGCTCCAGCGCCCCTCACCCGTGCCCATGCACTCCAACGGGGTCTCCCTCAATACTGTCGGACTCGAACCCGGTCACGAGAGGATGACGACAGTACTCTGTCTGCATGCCTCAGGTTGGTCATCTCTCAACTCACTTGCTCCTTTTTATGTAGATACTTACTTACCATCCCTGTTGCCAGTCGCCCAAAAGTCGTATGGACAGGAGAAACGCTTCCTGTGTCCTCCCCCGTTGGTACGAATCACTGGACCCTACAGGCAGCTACCCAAGTCACATCGCCCGATACTATCCATGTCGATTCTGAACGAGAACGGCCAGAAGCACCTCTGTCAAACGGCTTTGCTTGGCGAAGATGAATCGAACGTTCATTTTAAAAGCCTTCACATCAGTGGCGCGGCAAAAAAGGCCAAACACGTCAATCTCGAATTATCCCTCCATTCGCCCATGCTCCACGACCCCAAACCCCTTCAAAACCTTGGCCCCGACATAGAGGAATTGATGCCACCCTTCGCAACATTCAGATCTTCGGACTGCACTATTATCTCTAAGCCATCCAAGGTGCGATCTGCTGAAAGATGAGCATTATCTTCTTTCTCAACTCGAACTGACTTTATTGAACATTTGTAGAAAACTGCAAAGGCTCGCAATACCCAATCGTGTATTTTCAATGGCTCAACTATTTGTTTATTCAACCGAATCAACTCGCAAACTGTTCGGACGAAGTACCTTTGTGTTCAAGATGGCCAGCTAGCTGCCCGAGCTGCACAATGGTCCGCCTTTACGATCCGAGTCCTTCGTCGGGCAGAAGAAGCTGGGGCTGACGGAACTCCACCTATCACGGCGAAGACGCTTCTCTCGAGTAGTATACCCGGCGCCGATCGCACAGTCACCTATGGCTCGGAGGTCGAGCTAGTCGATTTTGTCACCGGTGTCTCCAGCGGACCATTAGTGGTTCGGAAGGTAGAAAAGAATATGGTACAGAAGGACGCCACTGGACCGGTTAGTCAGATGCAGAAACTAGCCTTCTGTCAGCTCGACAAACCCTCTGGTTCTGCGCTCTACATCAGTGCCCTCGAAGGAGTACCACTTCCTGTCGTCAACTCGCCTTCAACCAACGTTACCGAACCCACCCCAACCCCGGAATTGAATCCCAATCCAGCAGAGGGAACCGATTTGTCTGGGCTCACTACTGGGCCCACACTGGCCTATTCAAATGTTCCTTCTCCGCAGGCCCAGCGCATGCTCCACATGCTACAACTCCAGCCTCCTCGGGCAACTCTTCCTTCAGAAGACCCAGAAGGCATTCCTTTCGATGAGATCGACGACTCTGTTGCTTGGACAGTGATTGGTGTTGGTAGGTCTTTTCTCCCCGATCATCACACAAATTCGTGTACCAAACTGACCATCTTGTCTTATATCCTCAGCTCACTTTTCCCACTCATTTATCGATCTATCTCACTATTACCCTCAGATACCTCAACTGCCGATCACGCCTTTTCCGGCTTTGACTGCTCGCCCGCAGGTCGATCTCCACGCACTAACGATGACTCTTCGGGTGACTGGATTCTTTGACGCTCATGCCAGGGCGATGGAAATCTGGCTGGGGCCTATTGGCGCATTGGAAACCAAAGTCTCGGCCACTTCGGGTCTTACCTTAGAAGCCAATCTTGGCGATGGTGGGTCCAATGAAAATTCGGGCTCGAATGGATTGCGATTACAAGTCTCATCGGATCCGTGGTCCTCTCAGCGGAAAGGTGTCCGACGAGAGTCGACACTCTTGGTCACCTTACCGCCCTTAGAGAGCGTTTACTGGACCTTACATCGTAAGAATATGCCGAGTCGATCGGTCGTCGTCTTGGATGAGTCCAATCGATCGATGAGCGAACTCGTCGGACGGGCCCGCGACGACCATGGAAGCACTGGAAACGAGACCGGTCATCTGAATCCCTCAAACCATATCCCCGCTCTCCCTATCACCCTCATCAGAGCTGACGGAATCTCCTTTGTCATGGGCCATTCCATCTGTCTCTCTGAGGTCAATCACGACGACCTGAAAGAAAATCATGATCTCTCGAAGGCTTCTGGCAACGAATCTGATCGCTCTCACACGTTTATTCTAAAAGTTATATGATGGACTCTCGTTCTTCCTTCTTGGCTTATTTCTCCACTCTCTATCCATATCTTCATTCAAAATCGTCTGGCTCTGTCTGATCTTGGCTCCTGGTTTGAAAAAAAAAACTTGATAGTTGGTTTTCAACTTGATAAAACTGAAAACAATATCATGGAAACTTAGCGTGTGATCATCTGCGTCGATTTCAAAACAAAAGAGAATCACCTCCCAATCTGTAGTTTGTTTTGTCTCTTGGCCGTCAATTACTTCAAATTCAGCCCCTCTCTTCTCGTCCATTTATTCATATATGTTTCCCTCCTCCTCCATCGTTGTTTCTCTTTGTAACCCTTTTTGGTTGCTCACTTGGCTTCATTTTCGCCGAGCTCATTTGTATTTTTTTGTTTTGTTTTATTGGTTTGTGCATCGATTCATCCATTCTACTTTGTCAGCAAATCTTTCGGAATCATCTTGCATCCTTCTCTTTCTCTTTTGTGCTCTCTCTCTCACAGCTTATTTTATGCAGAAACATGTTTATATATATATATATATATGTTCACATCGGTTTCACTTTTGATTTTGAGGGCATGTTTGTTGTTTTCAAATTTCACTTCTTATACACACTCTAAATGCTCACATACATAATGGATGTTAATCTACAGGGAATTTGATGAAATCAACCGGATCTTGCAGTCATTCAAAAAACAGACATGAGCATTCGACAAATCGAGCAACAGATGATGATGTGATCATGCATCGGTATGATCGAAACACAAAAACCAAATGTGGGGTTTTTTGTTTGGAGTCTGAAACTATCAGGTTGGGTGGACTTTATGTACAGCCCCTTGACAGAAAGAATGGAACACTTTAATTGGAGTCCAGAGGGGAAGCCAATGGACTTGAATTTATGCTTCCTGGTGAAACTGTGTAGAATGAGCTCCAAAGAATGATTCTGACAAATTGAAAGGGAAAATATTTTGTAAAACTTTTGTATGTTTTTCCCCATTTTCTGATTTTTTGGGTATTTTTCAATCATTTTTCATAGTAGCTCAGAAAATTATGATCAACACAATTGCATGTGACAAGAATGATTATAAATGAAAAATTGAGAAAAATCAATCATCCAAAGTTTAGAGAGCTGAAGAAGTTGGATTGAGATTGAAATTGAATTCAATTTCAGTGCCTGATTGCAGGGTTGCACTGGCGGATGACACAATCCAAACATGCTTAAAAAAGCTGTTGATCAATTTTTTTTTTAATTTTTCATTTATAATCATTCTTTTCACATGCAATTGTGTTGATCATAATTTTCTGAGCTACTTTGAAAAATGATTGAAAAATACCCAAAAAATCAGAAAATGGGGAAAAACATACAAAGGTTTTACAAAATATTTTCCCTTTCAATTTGTCAGAATCATTCTTTAGAACTCATTCTCCACAGTTTTACCAGAAAGCATAAATTGACGTCCATTGGTTTGCCCTCTAGACTCCAATTAAAGGGTTCCATTTTTTCTGTCAAGGGGCTGTACAAGTGGGAAAAAACTTTTTTCTTTTTTTTGTTTTGAAGAGAACAAAAAACAGTGCAGGTTTTGTTGATTTGATACTTACATAGTAGGAAACATGAGCCCAAGAAGCACACAAAATACACAATACAGAGAAAAAAAAAACATCAGAAAGAATGGGGAAACAGTGATGTGGTTCGTTGTCAACAACATTTTTTTTTTTTCATATTCTGATCAATTCAAAACAATCAAGAAAAGAAGATTTGTTCTGATTTTCTTGGTGGAGCTTTTAAGAAAGTTGTAAGATGGACATGGCCCTACTGATTGTAAGCCAGTAAATCATCTATTTGGCACCAGCTGAGGGTTGTGGAATTTGTAGATTGCATGACGTCTAGTGAAGCAAGACTTTAAGTGGCTCCACTCCGATTCTGCTTCCATCAAAAGAAAATGACCGGGTTGATTGTTGAATGGCATTCGTCTACTGAGGTTGATCCGATCCGAAGCTGTCTGAATGAGGCTCAATATCTGATCAAAAACAACCTTGGAATGATCATCCTGAGAAGGAATTTTAATGAGATGAGCTATTCCTTCCAGTTCATGAGGAAAGAGGTATTGAAGTTTCTGCCATTCCGGCTCATCCAACTCCTCTAATTTGATGTTCTGGATCAGTCTTAGTGCTAATTCTTGATCTTTGACTCTTTCTTGACAAGCCTTCATCAAGTTTTCTTGTCGTGCCATGTTTTCAAAGGCACTTTCACCTGAAGCAGTAACTGGTATTTTACGTAGCGCCAATCCAAGAATTTTTACCCTAGATGATAAAGGCATCTTACTGAGAACTTCTTCATTATTGGCTGATTGTACTGCATTTATCCCAGTGGACTCTACACTGTTTTCTATTCTTTTCTTCTCTTGAACCTTTCTCAATGTTTGGATTGGCATCTCCACTACTGATAAGCCGTGATCAGTTTCTAGTTCTTTTCTTGCTCTTTCAATCAACTCAGAGTTTGTGGGCGTCCAAAGCTGCTCTCTCATCCAGTAATACTGCTTTGCTAATCTTTTGACCTCTTGAGTTTCTGGTTTGGTCAGCAACTCAATGACTTCATGTGGATGAATCCTTCGGTAGTATCCAGTATTTTTCTTCACTTTCTCTCTAAATCTGATTTCCTTCATATTCAGTGGCCGGATATAATCCTTGCTTTTTAATACCACATAAGCCTTTTGGTTTCTCAGATTTTTTGCTATTTTGTTCAGGTTACTTTCACCCTTTCTAAGATTCTTGCTTTCACTTTCCAAGGCTCTGATTAATGCCACATCATATTCAGTCCAGAATTGGCCCTCTCTTTCCTCAGCACCCAAGTCCTGAAGTGCTCTAACAATGAGGTCTAGATCTTCATGATTATTTCTACCTAATTTATCTTCTTGTTGAAATTTCTTGAAACTCCTTAGAAGATCCACAGCCTGCTCTTGTCTTCTAATTGCGACTGTGCGACGAGCAATCTCCTCGAGCAACTTTTTTTCGTCGGGAGAAAGCTCGATTGCCTGTTTGGCTTGAAAGGAGAAGCTAGCGATTTTTTCACTCAATTCTTGCTCTTGCAGGGTAATTTTGAATCCTGCTTCTTTGACCCTTCTCAATTGTCGCATAAGTGTTTCCTGATTTGTTGCAACCCTCTGCGAGATCGGTCGGATGTATTCTCCCCGACTCCGACGGCGGTAAACTGAGAAGTCCTCTTTATTTTCCAAGAGAGTCTTCCAAATCTTGTTTTCATTCCAAGCATTTTTCGCACTGTTAATACTTTCAAGAGTATTCCTTAACTTATGCAATTCTCTTCTATGGTCTTCTCCATATTTTCCAGGGAAGGAAGATGATTGACCCCATCTACTAGGAAAACAAATTGATTGGAGTTCATTTTTGCTCAATTCTGATAGCCTCTTGTCATGGAGACCCGCACTAGTTTTGGAATTCAATGGTTCTTTCGTTGTATTCATAGCTGGCACCTCGTTATAAGTGTCCTCTCTGGAAAGCCTACTTTTGGGCTTTTGGGGGCTCAACAATCCCCTTGACGGTGAGTGATTGGTTGGCTGTTGTCGGGAAAGCCTTAATCTGATCTTCTCCACTCCACTCTTTCCATCGATAAATGGTTTGAAAATCAACCGGTGTTCTAATCTTTGACCATTGGCTTGTTGATCCGAAAGCTTTGATATAACCTGGGTGCTTGATTGGACATGCATCCCATAAATTTTCAGTATCACATGGGAAGTTAAAAGTATCACAAAACCAAGACTACTTCTGATGTTTGGGATAATTAAGAAACGTAGCAAAGGCAATTCCATCATTTTGCAAACTGCAGCGAACAGAGAGATTTTGCGGTCGGATATGCCAAAATTTCCAGGCAGGAGAGTACCCTTTTTATTTGTCCTTTTTGGACCGAGGTGTAAGCTATGTGCTTGAGATGGTATGGTGTCTTCCTTGGCAAGTAGCAGTGTATTTGGATTACTCGCAACCTACACCAACAAGGCAACAGCGCACATTCACCAATCATCTGACTATCACCCAAGCACTTTACAGGCTCCAAAACTGTGTTGCGGGAGGCCCATTATACTTCCCCAAGTCAATCACCGCACACGAAACAACGATGATGCTGGAAATTTCCTTGGTGTGAGTGACTGAGTGAATGATGACGTTGACTGTATGTCAATGTAGGTTGAGAGCATCTAGGTGACTTTTTGCACTCAGCTGATCCCACGGATGAAGCCGTTTGTTTGATATTTACATTTTATTCTATTTATTCAATACAGCATCATAAGTCAGATGGCATCGATGGCAAGAATGAATGTGTTCGGTCACAAGTTGGCGGAATCAATGAAAGAGTTTGACCGATGGGGCGTCGACGGTTCATTAATTGTGAGTTGGATTTCGAAACAAAACATCTCAATTTCACTTCTTTGCCAAGTGCACCCCATGGTCGGGCATGTAAAATGTTAACATGACCGAAGAGAAGCCTTACCGTCGCGCAAATTCAACGTTGGACCAGCGGCTCAGTGAAATTGTTCATGTTCTTTACATAACACCGCCGTGAACCTGATCATCAGCTGCGGCGAAGTACCAACTCATGTGACACGTTCAGGCGGTGTGATTTTTCTTGTTGGGCACGTGGCCCCCATCACATGAAGCCAGGCTGAGGATTGAGTAAGGTAAGGAGGTCACATGATGCGGGAAAGCCTTAGTGAAAGGGTTGGTTTGATGTTGAACTGGGTTTCCACCAAAACCCGACAGGGTGCAACCCGTTTGGCCTTGACCGTTGTGATTCTGATTGTCAAAATGGGTGGCGGACAAATTGAGCGAGCAGTTATGATGACGGACCGGGCCCTCCACAATCAGCGAGTAGGGTTTCAGAGTGCGAGGTAAGTATCGCCATCAAGCAGCAGCAAGAAGCTCGCACTAATACGAGCTTAACTAATCGGCCACCCACCCCCGCAGAGGCTGGACTTGTGTTAAGTTCGCACTAATATACCAACCAGTTTGACAGTCCTGAAGAGAGGAAAGTGCCAGAATTGTTTCTCATTATGAGAAGAAATGTGGGTTGGCAGGAAACTACTACTAAGTGATTTCTTGGTCATTATACATTTCTAGGTAGAGTGCTTGTATCCTTCTCCAAGCCATTTGTCTCAAGTAGAACTATTGGATCGATAATATCATCTCCTGGTCCTGGATATCATCTGATTATAGTCTGCAGTTATGTAGCCTGCTTACTAGTCTTAAAATCACAGAACCCTGACCAAGTAGGACTCGGGACTTGTCTTCTCCGGACTATAGCAGCTTATCTTCTCTTGGTTATAGCATAGTTTCCAATGCCATCAGAGTAATCTCACCAAATGAGTTATGTAGAGAACATAAGGAAAAAAATACCCTTATGAGGGGTGAAGCACCTCAGAATTGGATGAGAGGACTAAACCAAAGATGAATTCTAGACTGTCAAGGGTGAATCGTATTGATAGATTTCATGAAGCAGAAATAACGACATTTTGCCAAGAATAATACCAGTCAATATTTCTAAAATCAATTCAAAGAGGAAAGACCAATGGTGAAGCACAAAGATACTTAATTTTGAAGGTGCAACCCCATGCTGAACAAAGTGGCATGACCATGCTCACATGAGGGGTATAAATCAGGGCCAAAGAAATTCACACTTTTAATGTTGTATGAATATTTTCACCAGGAGTGATCACTCTAAGTCAAATAATTCATACATATTTTCTGGCCAATAGAATTCCTCCTGGTCAATAATTAATTAATATAACTTTTGGTACTCAGAGAAATTCTTCCCAGCTAGCAAAATTATATGTTTTTTTTGAATGGGGGATATTATTCTTGATCAAAACAATTTGAAGGGCTTTGTTGGCCAGGAGGAATCATCCTGGAAAATGAAGTTGATGTTGGCTGGGCTTGGCAGGAGGAAACCCTCCCAATCAACAAATTCCAGGTAGGAGATTTGGGGATTAACTCCCCTGATGACATAAAAGTCAAAACTCAAAGTTGATGAACAACGTCCATCCTACCCCGCAGCCAACAGCTGATCCGGGACCAGTGTTCTCCCTCCCGGACGGGTGTCTTCAGCGTCAAAAAACATGAGCGGTGTTGCTACGCAATTTTTGTAACTTGACGGTACCAAAAATGTGTCAAAAAAGAAACCACTAAGCTCGTGGTTTTTACTTCAATAACCTAGCGTAGTGAATCATGGCTGGATTGAATGTTTCTTTTGCTATTCTCCTCTCTGTAACCTGTGATCCGAAGGCTCAATCATTTTGAGAACGTAAGAGTGCTGGCACCATCCAAGCCAAACTACGCGTGTCCAGGAAAGATTCATTGCAGTGCAAACGGTTAGTATTTAGTACTATAGGCCCATAGGGACTTCCCCTTACCAGCAACTAATGAATCCATCTGTGCAGCTTCATCAGACAAGGGTTAATCGTTTCTGTCACGAGACTGCACTTGTAATTCAGATGGTCATATTATTGACCCAAAAATTGAACCGCGATTATACGCGTGGGTTCGCAGATTCGCTGTGTACGTTTATGTGCTACATAGCTGATGTTCAGGCAAGAAAAATGCCTCTGATACTCGGTCGGGGTCATTGTGTCGTACATAAGACAAGATAAAAATTTATTGCCAAGGATGGCGTCGGGCGCCGGCTCCCAGCGCAGTCATCCCTCGAGGTTCGACAAGCCGGCCGAGCTCCTCCAGATCTTTGGCTGGCATGTGTATCAAAAGAGCTTGAATATCCGCAATGTGATTGGGCCATTTTAACTTAATTTACATATAGAGGTTTGGAGTGTCGCAGGCAGAAAGGGCTTTACACGGAATTCGTGTTCAAACGTCGCGTTACTTTTGTGAATTGTTGATATCTCTCTATCTCTTGTATGCACCAGGTCTGAATCCGCAAGTGGTGTGGCGCAAAGATCACCAAGGGTCTGCATGCAGACTTTCGGGACTTGATTGTAAATACCACGTCGGCGGTGTGTTTTTCTTCAGTATATCTGCCATCGCACTCGCAGCCAATATCTTGGTACCTTTTCAAACCACGTTCGAACGCCTTTTGAGCTCTTGGAAGTGAAACACGTCATCAAACTCTATAGGTGAGCCTATTGTTGTCTTAAGGGTCCAGCTGGTAATCATGATGGGTATTGAATTCTACAAATCAAATGGGAGCGAAGCATAATTTCTCTCCTCCGAAAGTACCTCTTCTGAACTCTGGCGCTCTGCACGCTTCAGATCCCCCAGATCCCCCAGGCCAAAGGACTCTCAGTTTCGTATATAAGGTTGGAGACAGCCTAAGTGTAATCTTATAATGTGAAAACGTTTTGGCCTAATGTCAATGTTCCCCATTCTTTCAGTTGACCGTACACATTTTTGAAAGATTTTGCTCTTATATGAAAAGGTTGCCATTTTGGAACTGTCACAACATAAAGGTTCATTACTTTTATAAATTCTAAAATCTTAACCCTTCCACTCGTAAACTTATACAAACATCAAATTTTGGCTTCAACTCAAGCCAAAGACCTAACAATGAGGACAAGGCAACTTCCAGATTTACTGTCATTCCTTGATGAATATCCCTTGACGAAAAAGTACAGCAAGCGCGAGATAGGCCCACTCGGTCTGTCTTTTTTCTGTTATTCTTCATGTTTGATCAGACGCGCATACTCTGAAATTGGCTCATTTAGACAATCCTTTCACCACAGTTCTTGTAGTATCTGTGAGCTCCTTCGGAAACATTAATCGCTGCACGGCTGTTCTTTATTGGATGAACTGATTTGGCAAACAATGGCGTGTCCATGTTTGATAGACCTTGATTCTCACTGGATTGTGCATTTTCAATGTGTTTACACAGTAAGCCTGCTCTGCACGTTCATTGTATTTTCATGCCTGAAAAGCCCCAACTCAAGCGCAGGTTTATGCTTACATCAACAAGAGGAAAAGCAGAGAAAATCGAGTGAGTCTCCGAGTTCATTGGGTTCTACAAGATTCTAAATTGGAACTGTCAAACTTATGGATGGATGTGGTGCTGTATTCTGTTTGGCTAGATCATTTCTATCCACGCGTTTTTTGGATAATTCAACGAATGGGAAAGGGGATCACGTTACCTGCCAACCAACTCTGCTGAAAGTTGACGACAACTTCTTCATGGTTATTCCCCCCGACGAAAATGAAACTCTAACAGCTTCGGTGGAGGATTTGCAAATCGCTGCCCACTCAAACATGTCGTTCAAATGGACTCTGGTTGATATCGGAGACGAATCAGGAACAGGATCAAGGAAGGTATCAACAGGGTTCCTCTATAGGGGAGAAAGGACAAACTGCTCAGTGGGTTGAGGTGTTGCAGCTTCACCTTCAACAAGACACCCGCTTTAATTTGTTTCTTTGGTTTTTAATTTCACTTACACAGGTCAATTTTGTGAAGTCGACGTATCAGTTCCAAGATACAAACTACCAGTACATGTAAGCATTTGATCAACTTATACTTTCAGACCACCTAGTCTAATAAACTCGGTCACAAACTTTGATCCTCACGGGAACTCGCCCATTTGCCTTGGCAGCGTTTGTGGCACTTGCTTAATTGGTACTAAGTTGAAGGCAAAGCTTTGCAATTCATTAAACGCGGCTGCCGATGAGTAAGAGTCAACCCTGAGTTTATTTCGTGAAGCATTTCTGAGATATTCAGACCTGCATTTTTCAAATAATATAATAGTCTACTCCGAGGATCGTCCGGTCGCTTTTGGACGAGCTCGGCACATGTTTAGTGAGTCAATCATCCCACCAAGTTCAGCAGATTGATTCTTTTCCATATGATAAGAAACCTGATAGGCTAAAAAGCTACCTGGAACAGTCGTTCATTTGATGGTTATGATCCAAGATTGTCGATACCGCTTCATACATTGCCGCTATCAGCATTCCCCCCAAATTATACCGAAGTGCAGGAAGATTATTATAGGAGTTTTAAACCCACAATCGGCCCGCGTGATATTACGGAATTAGGGACGTGGCTTGGAGGAGTAAAATTGATACCAGCATCTCAGCTGAGCGGATATGATGTAGAGTTCCCTTGGCGGACACTGCCTCCACCTCAAGGAAATATCTTTGTTGACAATTCGACGGAGCCAAGTGATTTCTTTAGTGCATTCAATACCACCTATCATGCCTTGTGTCAAGGTCATGAATGTAGTAATTTCCGGATTACAGTCAACGGTATTGGGGCGCTGGGACCGTTTGGATTCAAAGATACCAAGCTGTTCAAGATTCCTGAAGTTTTAATGGACATGTTCAATCGCTCACTTTCGTATGACGTTCGAATTATGGATTTAGCGGCTAATGATCTCCACGGAAAAGAAATCGGGGCAACTTACTTGTGCACTAAAACCACAAAGAAGTGGCTCCCCCTCCTTAAGGTCATCTCTGTCACTCTGGGAAGCTCTTCTGGATTATTTTCGGGCATTTTTTCGTATGTCATTGTCGCCGTCAGCTTTTTTTCTGCCGTAACTCTCCAAGTGAAACAGCTATTTCTGCAACTGCGAAGTCAACAAGCAAACTTATAGCTTGATCATTCTATTAGCTTGCTCGTCGATATGATAACCGTCATGAAAATCGCAGAATCAGCCAAGCAACGCAAACGAGGATGGATGAATCAACTCTCAATAGCGACGACGACGAAGATTCATCTCTTGGGGCCAAAAATTCATAGTAGCCGCTGGGAGAAGTTTTTTGACACTTTTTTTCAATATGTTCTGATTCAACACTTTTGTGAATTCAATGGGAAGAAACGCAGAGCTGAAAATATACCAGGATCAGGGGAGACTATGTTATGCTTTTTTGTATTATCATCTAAATTCAAGGACACTGATGTCAGATATTTTGTGGTGGTTTTCTTTCTCAGGATGATCCTGACCTAAGATTTCTCTTACGGTTGGAATATGAATTCCATTTCAATCTGTAACTCAGAATTCTCAATTCATCAACTCTAATTTCTCCATCTTTTAAGCATAGTAATCTTGATCAAGTACAGCATGAAGAATAAAACAGCCATGAAAATGAAAAAAAATGAACTTCCTTGCTTCTTTGCTTTCAAATTCTTCAAACTTAGAGGAGACACCAATGCAATCATTTTATGATTTCTTTTGAAATTGAGATTCAATTCTTACTTTTTTCATTTTTGTTCAGTTGATTGTCTAGTTTTTTTCCAGTCATAGAGCTCAAGAATTTCCACTCTAACTCCAAGGCACTTTATAAAATGACATCACTGGGTCAGATGAGAGGAATGATTATCTTGTTAAATGTTGGAATTCTGTCGTCTCTCTCTCATCTCTCCTTCTTTCCTCCCTTTCACACCAATGTCACTCCTTTCCCTTCCAGATGAATATGCACTCTTTTCACCTTCTGTCCCACAACTCAACCAATATTTGTATGTAGATAAATTAGCCATACCATGAGTTCAAATATGAAAATCAATCAGTTCTTCTGCGTCTGTTCCCTGAGGTCACTCATACAACCTCTTGTAGTGGGATTGCTTTTCCGACCCACAAGCTAGCAGCCTATAAAGCCCTCAAAGAGGGCTTCTTGACCTTGTTCTTTCTCTTGTCAGAGTTGTTTGTCACCGGTCACTTCTTCCCCTTCTCAGCTCTTGCCGTGAAATTTCATCATTAAAGAAATCGTGATTTTTTTTTTCACAGGGTGTGATCTAAGTTAAATCCAGAGGGAACTGCTCCATCAGCAAGTACTGTGATCTCGAAGGAAAATATCAAATTTGATCAGCAAGCTGTTGTTAAAATTTCCTGCCAGCCAGCCCATTCTAATCACAACAAGGATTTTGAGCTAGCTGGTGGTCAGATGCCTGGCATTTTCAGCTGAATTGGATAATTGGATTGGAAAATCAGTTGGTTTTTATGGGATAGCCCATTAATTCAGCTGATTTACTTTTCTGACACAATTTGACATTGAAAAAGGTGGTTAAATGAGTTTGTTAAAACTCTCATCCAATCTGAAAATGTGGTTCTGTGCACCTCATTGATTTTTTTTCTAAAAATACATTGATACATCCATTCCTGCTGGAAAAGTACCGGTATCAGTTTGGATAAAATCAAAGCCCCCTTGGGCAGCATCCTAAGTTCAAGCATTCCGAAGCATGATTAATTGAACAAAACACCTAAAGAATCTTTTTCTTAAACTATCTAAGGTTGGTGAAGTATCACAGAGTTGCAAAGGAAGACTTGAGGGGAGATTGGGGATTGCAGTGTGTCACCCCGCGGGTTTCGAGTGCCCACAAGTAAGCCATCGGTGGATTGGGGCGGACAAGGTTTGGTTGCGGGGCGGACTGAGTCAACAGTCCAGCCAACTTGACTCTCTTGACCACTTTCCTCACTTCCTCGTTCCCCATCACAACAACCATCACACTCTCACAAGATGACTGCCAAACCGAAATCGAGTGGCAAGAGCCGATCCTCAACATCAGCCGGACCAGTCAAACAACATGTCAAAGGTCAGTAGACTGACTGATTATAATTCTCCCCAAATATGAAAACCTAGCTCACACAAATTTTAAACAGGTGAAAACTTTTATCGAGATGCAAAGAAGGCCAAGACGGTCAAACTATTGTCGAAGGATGGTGGGAAAGCGATCCGAGACCGGGATGGGAAGATCATCAAGGCGGCCGCCTTCCAGTCCTCAGATGCACCGAATGGTCGGATCCAACCTGACCGAAGATGGTTTGGAAACACCCGAGTAATCTCGCAAAAAGCACTCGACCATTTCCGTACATCACTCGCTCAGAAGCAAGCCGACCCATACTCAGTCATCCTCAAGCAGAACAAACTGCCGATGAGTTTGCTCCAATCTGATGCTGAGAAAGCTGCCCAAGGCGGTAAGGGAATGAAAGTCGACCTGGTGACCGCTGAACCCTTCGAACAAACCTTCGGTCCAAAGCAACGTCGTAAACGACCTAGACTCAGTACGGCCGGAACGTTTGAAGAATTGGTCAAAGAAGCAGAAGATCTGAATTCCAACAAGAAATCGAAATCATTGGCTGGCGAGAAACTACCACCGGTTGATGGTCTAGGAAAATTCATTAAAGGTGGAGAGGAGCAATTAGAGGAAGCCGACTCTCAAGAAGATGACGAACAACATAACGTCGCTGTCGATTACATCCTCAGTGCTGGAACTTCTAAGCGGATTTGGTCTGAGCTCTATAAGGTTATCGACTCATCAGACGTCATCCTACATGTTCTTGATGCTCGTGACCCACTTGGAACTCGCTGCTTGAGCGTAGAGAATTACCTACAGAAGGAGAAACGGGGCAAGAAGATGGTTTGGATCTTGAACAAAGTCGATCTGGTGCCTGGATGGGTAGCCGTAAGTATTTCATTCTTTCTCTCGGTCGATCCAACTTATACACCCAAAAACTGCCTCTGACTAGAACTACCCTCTCAACCAGTCACGATGGGTGAAATATCTGTCAAAGTTCCACCCAACCATTGCATTTCATGCGTCGATCAACAACTCCTTCGGGAAAGGATCATTAATCCAACTTCTCCGACAATTCTCTTCTTTATTTTCCGATCGAAAACAAATCTCAGTAGGCTTCATTGGTTATCCAAACGTTGGGAAATCATCGATCATCAATACTCTGAAGAAGAAGAAAGTCTGTAACGTTGCTCCGATTCCAGGAGAGACCAAAGTCTGGCAATACATCACTTTGATGCGTCGGATCTATCTTATCGATTGTCCTGGGATCGTCCCCCCCTCAGCCAAAGATAGTGAGGCTGCGAAGGTACTCAAGGGGGTCGTCAGAGTCGAGCATCTTTCATGCCCAGCCGATCATATCCCTCCGCTTCTAGATCGGATCCGTCCCGAATATATGGTCCGCACCTACGGGATTCAAGAGTGGCAAGATTCGGAAGACTTCTTGACCCAGATCGCCCGAAAGTCAGGGAAATTACTGAAAGGTGGAGAGCCTGACCTCCGGACGGTTGCAACCTGCGTCCTAAACGACTGGATCCGGGGTAAAATCCCTTACTTCGTCCCCCCTCCTACCCAGACTCCTGGCTTCAAAACTCAAAACTCTCCCGAGGAGAAGGATCAATCTCAACTGATAACCGAGCAACGCTCGGAAGAAGGGAAGCAGACGAAGAAGAGCGGTCGAGAGGATGGTGAGGATAAGGTGGGCGTGATCAAGGGCGTCACTCAACCTTTACATCAGATCGTCCGGACCAACAAGTTTTTGGAAGATGACGAGATTGGAGAATTTGAATATGCAGATGAGGAGGGAGAGGAAGGCGCAGAGCGATTGGCAAAATCCGGATCGAAGGGAGAGGCGGCCGTCACCGAAGACATAGACTCTGAAGAAGAAGAAAAAGACGAGGACGATCTCGACTTATCCGATTCAGGCGAATGGTCTGGGATCGGTAGCGAGGATGAAGACGAAGAAGAGCTGTGCTACGAAGACTTGATCAAAGCCCCAACTGCCAAATCTACTGCTTCTTCCAATGCTCTAGCTAGCGATCTTAATGATGATGATGATGATGACGAAGATTTGGATATCGTCTTGGATGAAACCGAGCCCATCCGTCAAACTGGACAAGTTGCCAAAGCATCCAAAGCTGCCGGGAAAAGAAAAGGTTTGCATCGTTTTCCTTGTTTTTTTGAAATGATATGCTTCCGCTTTCGTCTTCCTGACTTCTTTTTTTTTCTTGTACGTTTTCGTCGGTTTAATCTTGGATGACTCTGTTGCGACCTTGATGCATGTAGGAAATCAAGAAGAAGAGGTGGATCTTGATGGGTCGGTCGATCGTAGAAATAATAAAAAAACTAAGGAACCTCGGATGACTACTAACAAGAAGAAATCTGAGAATTTCTTCACCAATGCTAAGTTGAGTCCATAGTTTTTTGTGCTCCTTTTTCCTCTTAGAATCAATCACCTTTTCCTTTTTTTTCTTCTGGATGACTGATTGTTTATCATTTCTCCTCACTTTCAGCGTTAAAAATAAAAACCGAAATCGGAAAGTTCCTAAGCTTAATACTACCAAGAAAAAAAAGTGAAGGGTTGAATGATAATCGAGTGTGATGATCCTTCAACTATCAAGATTTTCCCTCATTAGCTCTCACAAAAAAAAGACAAAAACAATGCCAAAGTTGATCGATCTTTTTTTGATATCTTTGCTTCAGTCGTCTATTTTCTTTGGGTGTCATCTTGATCAACTTACAAAAAAACATGCTTTGTTGTTTCGTTTTATGAACTTGTCTCTTCTATATATACCCCAGGAAAGTTCACATTTCCTCCAGCCTTTGATTTTTTTTTTTTTCTAACAAAAGAAAATAGAACCTTGGGCCCGGTGTGTTTGATTTGCACATTTGGCAGATGGATTCCAGATATGAGTTCAAGTATGTAAGAAGTTCCAGGTCGGGCTGTCCTTCGGACAGAACATGCATGGGAAGAAAAAAGAAGATAGCAAAAAATCAAGCATACGTGTAGAAAGCTTGTCGGGCTAGGACACGAAAAAGGTTAATGAAGGGATGAGGGTGACTAAATATTGTATAAGCATAAACAAGAAGATCCATGATTTTAAGTTTGTTGAAGAGAATATGTTTATAAAAATGAGTAATACAATCCAATAGAAAAAAAAAAAAATGATGATGAGGGGGGGGAGATGAGATTAAGTATCTTGGAGATTGAAAGCTTGGAAGAGTTTCCAATAGATGTGCGAACGAGCCTTGGACTCGAATCGGATGAATTGGCGCAGGAAGTCGGGGACCACTTTGATCGTTGCCGAGTCCCGTTCGGGGTCTAAGGATGGACTGAATGAACATGTCTCATCTGGATGGACTTGTAGCTTGAAATGTAACGCTATTGTTTTTTTTTTTTCCCACACACACACACACAATCCAAAAAAAAAAAAAAAAATAGACGATGATTAAAATGAAGATTGAACGGAGATACTGATTTGATTTGATTGTGTTAGAAGGAACACGCACCGAAGCCTCGATTGAGTATATCAGCAACGATACATTCGAAGATCGGGCCTTTATGATCAGGCTGAGAGCTCAAGATTTCGAGCCCGGTGAAGTCGCCCATGATCGACAATCTGCGTTTGAGATCCTCGATCGTCTTCTCATTATTCAGCAACTGTTGTTGATGATTATTACTCGCCGAATGATTCGGATGGTTGGTGCGTTGTTGGTTGGGATGGGCAGATGTTGAGTGGTTGTTGTTGTTGTTGTTGTTTCGGAGTTGGTTGAGTTGGACGATCAGGGCTTTCGAGTTCTCTGTTTCCGCGTTTAGCATTTTCTTTAGGGTTTTGACTGTGAGGTTTAAGACCATAAAAGAGATGGATCGTTCAGTGAAAGAGTGGTCAACAACTGCAAGTGAGAGAAAGAGAGAGAGAAAGCTGACCTTCATCATTAGCTTCCTTGAGCTGTTCCTGCACGTTTTCTTCGGCCAACAGACTCGCCTGTTGGGCGGCCCGTTCGGCCTCCTTCCGCCGCTTTCTTTGCGCATCATGGGCGGCTTTCAGCTGTTGATTGGTCTGGACCAAGGCCTCCTTTTCTTCCTCTAGTCTTTGTCTGTCTCGCTCTTCTTCGCCACTATACACTCGGCTCAGCTTCCCGTTCACATCGATCACTTTTTGTCGGAGACTCTTGATCGTCTCGTCTTGCGCTTTCGTTAACTTCTCATAACCTACATCAATATAAAAAACAAAAACACCCTTCAATCATATGATCTCTTTTTATTAAAAACAAAGCTCCTGGGTTACCTGCATATTTCGATTCCGCTATTTGCTTGTGTTTCTCCAGCAAATGTTCAGCATCGGTTTGGCGAATCTTCTGCAACTCATCCAACAACTGATCTTTCGTCTCGAGCTCTCTACGAAGCTATAAACCAAAAAAAAAAAATCGATTAACAAAAGCTAAGAAGTAGATTAAGTTTGACAGAAGAGAGATGAGGATTAACCTGGGAGATTTGGTTCTGATAGAGCTTGATTTTCTCATTGAAGATCTCGAGTTTCTGGTCGATTAATGAGTTTAATTGATGGTTTAGATCTGCGTGGTTGAGCAGAGGGATCGTCGGGTTGAGAGTATTCGACAAGATGAATCCATTATTCGAGGTCTTGTTGGTTGTGAGAGGATGGGAGGACGCCGGTTCTTGGGAGAGTAATCTGGCCACTTTCTGGGTGAGGTCTGTCGTCTTGGTTCTTGATATTGCTATTTGTGGTTGTTGTTCTGTTGATGCTTTCTCATGGTTCAGCTGTTGTTCTTCTTGGTCTTCTGTTGGGTTGCTGTTGTTGTTCTTTGTGATGTTGCTGTTGTTCTTGGTTTTCTTCTTGGGTGGCATGTTGTTTTGGTTGGTTTCTCCTTAGTAGTTGCTCCTCCCCCTCCACCCCACCCCCACTCAAGTCACCACTCGAAACGCGTCGCGTCCTACTCACTCTTCACCCAGAAGAACAAACCAGCACATCACTCATCCTCATCCCACCCTGGGCTCCCTCCATCCGCAGACCAATATAGCTCATGGCCACCAACATCACTTTGGACTCAAATATCAGCTTGAACGATTTTTTGTTGCTTTATCAGTATTCGAGAAAGATCAAAGTTTCGATTTTGTTTACAAGTTGCACATCCTTGTAAACCAATCTATGTATAAAATTCAATTTGGGTATTAATGAAAGAGAGTAATAGTTCACTTTTTAAATAAAGTCACTCCCCCAAAAAAACATTTTCACTTTTGTAGAACCATACCAGAGAGAGGAAGATAAAAAAGTGGACGAGATTGATCAGTCAAATGCATCTGATCATTGTTTTTGGATACCTTTGACCAGAAGTCAATCCAGTGTTTTTTTAGCCTTCTGGTTTATAATCAACTTGTATAGCGGAGGACTTCCCGTCGCGGTTTAGAGTGTTTTTTTAGACCTCTCTCAGTTCTAAATTAACACTCTAATCGCAATTACAACTAGCTCACATGAGGGCCTTTACTACAAGGCTTCTGAAGAAAGATTTTTTTCTGCCAAAAATTAAGACCTTCATGGTGTAAATCAAATTCTTCGAGGGTTGTAAATGCCGACGGGAAGTCATCCAGCATCACCCAGTCAAGATAATTGCCATTTGACACTATCAAAGCTTAATCAGTGATGAAAAAAAAAAAATAGCTCCAGAACCACGGGAGTTCCTCAGATAATTAACAACAAGGCAACTTTGATGTTCTATACCCAAACTTGCTCTACTAGCAGATCCTGAATTCCAATGAGATGCATTTTATCCCAAATATTGTGATATAAACCACCAAGGCTCTGTTTGGCAGTCTGTTATATCATAAGTAAAAAGATGCAAATCTGGATAAAAGCTAGACAATCCCCTGCTTATTACAGTGGATTTTTGGTGTTATAGTACAACCAGTCAATCAAAATTTTCACTTATGATAATAAATGTGGTCCCCCGAAAAGATTTGCAGGATTTTCCTATGATATTTTATAATATCAAGGACTGCCAAACGGACCCTAAGCAATTCAAGTATGGAGCCTTCAAAATCAATTTGAAATGTTGGATGCTCAATATTTATAGGGGGTTGGAAAAACGACTCCCAAAAATTTGACGATGACTCCCACTTTGGTCGAGGGGTCGTCGGACGGGAGTCGTCTTTTCTATTCCCCCTGGGGGATTGGGAGTCGACCTCCCAATCCAATTTTTTTTTTTTTTTTTTTGGGCGGGAGGCGGCGCCCAAAACCTCCTTGGCAAGTGGGAGGTTTGGGAGTTGCTTCCCTCCCACTGGCCAGGGGGGATTCCCTCCGGTCATCGAGACTGTACAGTCTCGATGACAGGAAGGAATCCCTTCTGGCTAGAGATGTCGCTTGATACCCGGGTACCTGTAGCGGGTGCGGGTACCTGCCTCAAAAATCCAATATTTTTGACACCCGCACCCGCACCCGCACCTGCTAGGGCCGCCAGGGCGGGTACCCGGGTACCTGCGCCGGGTACCTGCAGGTACCTGGCACATTTTTGCAGGCAAATATACCCAGAAATCTCACCATTGAATTTCTGCATGACTTGGTAAATATAAGATTGATATTCACTAGATATATGAGTAAGAATACAATAAAAATAAAGAAATAAAGAAAAACAAATTATTCTATCACCAATTTGAATTTTATCTTCTCTCTGATCTATCTTTAGCTTGGCCTCACTTTCCTTATTTAATTTCCATTGATGAAGACTGTACACCATGTTTATGACTGGAGGAATTACTCCAGTCATCAAGACTGTACACCATCTCAAAGGCCGGAGGGTACCCTCCCACCTCAACAAAGCAACCAGATTAGTTCAGCAACACATATAGGACACCAGCTGGTGTCCTACATGGGTTGCTGACACCTTTGTGCAGCCCAACACGCCCAAAAAAAGGAGTGTTGGACCACCAATGATAAATTAAATTCTTCAGGGGAAGCATTCCCAAAGCGGGTGTAAGGCAGGTACCCGGGTACCTGCCTGTTTTTACCACAAATGTTGACACCCGCACCCGCACCCGGTACCCGTTTCCGGGTACCTGCTTTGGAAAACAGGTACCCGCAAACGGGTACCGGGTACCTGCAAACGGGTACCCGCTGACATCTCTACTTCCGGCCATCGAGATTGTATGGTCCCAATGACCGGAAGGAATCCCTTCCGGTCATCAAGACAATTTGAATTTTGATGACCAGAAGGAATCCCTTCCGGTTATCGAGACCATTGATGACCGGAAGGAATCCCTTCCAGCCATCGAGATTGTATGGTCCCAATGACCGGAAGGAATCCCTTCTGGTCATCGAGACAATCCAAATTTTGATGACCGGAAGGAATCCCTTCCGGTCATCAGGACCATACAATCTCGATGGCCGGAAGGGATTCCTTCTGCTCATCGAGACTGTACAGTCTTGATGACCGGAGGGAATCCCCCCCGGCCAGTGGGAGGGAAGCAACTCCCAAACCTCCCACTTGCCAAGGAGGTTTTGGGCGCCAACTCCCGCCCCCCAAAAAAAAAAAAAATGGATTGGGAGGTCGACTCCCAATCCCCCAGGGGGAATTGGAAAGACGACTCCCGTCCGACAACCCCTCGACCAAAATGGGATTTGTTGTCAAATTTTTGAGAGTCGTTTTTCCAACCCCCTATTTATATAGCCACCTGAAAGTTTTAAATCTAGTTTTTTTTTTGCCTTCATACCTGTGCAAAGGGAAGTCATTGGATCTTTGCCTTGGTCTGGAAATGTACAGTGGGTGGACTGTTCTTTTTAGCTGCTTGTTTTGGATTCCAGAGCTTCAAAGCACAAACTTGAAGTCACAAGAATGGGTGAAGTGGTGAAGAATAGGTCCCAAAGAATGAATATGAAAAAATAAAAACAAAAAATAAAGTTTCAAAATCTGTGAAAAAAAAAAAATCCAAAAGCTCTGATATCCATTTTGAGGGAGTGGGAGCACTGGAAGAAAGAAAGAATAGAACATAGGAAGAATGATTATAAATGAAAATTTTGTAAAAAAAGGTCCCCAGGTGTTTTTAAACAACTGTTGAGTAGCACATTCACCAGCACATGTTGTGGAAAAGCACTAGAATTTACTGTTTTGACTTCAATCTGAACAACCAACCTGGCTCAACCTTTTTTGGTTCCATTTTTTTCATTTACAATCATTCTTGCCATGTTCCACACTTTTTAAATCAATAACAAAGCTTTTGGAAAAACCCATTTTTATTTTTTATTTTTCACAAATTTTGAAACTTTGTTTTTTGTTTTTATTTCTTCATAGTCATTTTCTGTGACCTATTCTGCACCAATTCACCAAGTCTTGTGACTTGAAGTTTGTGCTTTGAAGCTGTAGAATCCAAAACAAGCAGCCAATAATAACGGTCCACCCACTGTACACTTGATTTTTTGAAGCACCTTATACAAGATTCTATTTGATACTTACCTGAAACTCCACAGAAATAACAACCATCTGTATCTTGATAAAAATGATACTCAATCTGTTTTTGGCTGTAATGGTCTACACAATTACAATATACTTCCTAATAATGATGAGCTACAAGATTACAGTTTTTTAGGCACTGTTTGGCAGTGTAATAAATTCAAGTGTAATATTGGTCAGTAAAAAATAAACCACTCAGAAATATCTAACACAATTGTTACTCAAGCAAGGTTTAGTATGAACATAGTTAATATAATGGGCTACCTTGAGCACCCTAATACCAATATTACAATTTTTAACCATGTAGAGCATGATATTGATATCATGGGGCTGAAGATGGCCTAAGATATTGATTTTTTTTCTCAGCATTGATGAAACCAGAAGTTGAGCTTGCCCCAGTACAAATTTTGTTACATATTTCCCATCGGTTTATTTTTCACTAGTATTTGCCCCCAATTTCATTTCAGCGAGTTTCTTGGAATTCTTTTGTCTCTCTCTTTCCTCCCTTTCATCCCAATGTCACTCCTTTCCCACCTGTTACTCTTTTTTCTCAGTTCCAGCTGAATAATTTTCACCTTCTGTCCCACAACTCAGCCTACATTTGCATGTAGATAAATAGTCATACTTAAGAGTTAGAAAATGAAAAAGCATCTTTTCTTCTGCACCTGATACCTGGGGTATCTATCGGATAAAACCCCTTGTAGTGTGTGTGCTCTCCCATCACACAAACTGGCAGACTTAGCCTTCTTTGAGGGCCCTAATATTATTTTACTCCCTCAGAGCTTTTTCCTCAAGGTTTTCCATCACCCAGTCTCTTCCCCCTCTCTTCGCAAAAATCTCAGTTTCATCAGAGTTTGACTTATTGACCTTTTTTTCCCTGAACGTTGGGAGGTTTTACTGAATGACCTTTTGCCCCTTTTGGAGGTATTCCTTAAATTGGACACCTGTCTTGGTCTAATGTTGGTGTCCACAAATGTGAATTGGAGGTCAACACTGGCGTTAGATTGCATGTCACTTTGTTTGGATCTCTGAGCCCATTCTTTTAGTTATATGTAGATTGAATAATCAGGCAATATTACACCTGAATTTATGACAATCCCCACTGGGGCCTTATTGTTACTTTGAGAAAGATTGGAGGAAGAGCATTAAGTTAATAAGAAGTGATCGCTGAAAAAGTATTTTGATCTTGGAGTCAAAAGGGATAACAAAGACAGGATTCAAACAGAGCTGATGCTACTATTAATTGCGGCTCCAACTTAGCAAATTGTAAACATCCGCAGGTGACTACATTTCACCCGTGCTCGTAGCTACTTTGAATCGTCTGAGAGCGCGTACTGATGCTTTAGCTGAAGATTATATTTGGGAGTGATGATCTCACTACCGGCTCTTCTTCTGACTGTGGCATTATCTAGGGATCAGGCAGTAAAGATTACAATAATATATTTTGCTCTATTGTTTTCTATCGTAGAAAAAGGAATCATAATTAATGAAATTAGAAAAAAAAAACTCATGAAACGCTGTGCTAATATTTGGGGTCAAGAATCATTTGGAGTTTGGGAATGGGTGGCGTTGAAAGCTGAATGCCATCGCTGTTGCCACATACAGTTCCATCCAATCAAACCTACCGTTATTCGGTACAGACGGCCCGTCGGCGGAATAAGAGTAATGACAACGAGTGACCACACACGATCTCCATCTCTTCGTCTTCAGTCTCAAGAATTGACATCATGGTTGTGAGAGTCTTTTCCACCGGGTCTAGAATTTTATCCCCTATCTTAGTCGGGTTTTCTGCGTGTGTGTGTTTTTGGCGTATATCGGATTAGTGAAACTCAGACTACTTCTTAGTTCGACTTGTATATCACGAACCAATTTGCCATCGATGGGCCGGGCCATAAGTACGGGCACGTTCTCTCTGTTGCAATAGCACATAGCAGGGGTCAATTTTGTGAGGCATAGTGAGTTTGAAGAGTTCGGAAGATCAAAACAAGACTGCGAACCCATGCTCTCAGTTTTATCCGATCCGCCATCACCAGCCGATCCCCGAGTCCATGTCGATTCCAATCAATCCTTTGGAAATCTCCTAAGTTGCCCTTGTCGGTCAAATCGGGAAGGGGCAGTTCGTCATACATATGATGGCAAATACGGTTGCCAATGGAAGAAAATCCAAGCTCTTCTGCAAATGAAAACATTGTTGCTCGAAGCTCCTCTGCACATTGGTGACCTGGATCTATTCAAGTTCCCTCGTATCATGCTTTAATTCACTTTTACGACTTTAGATCTCTCAATTCAGGAGAGCAATCAATCCGCTTACCGGGCCACAAGCCTCCGTAGATGAAAACCGCCAAGGTGCCCTGAGGCTTTAAAACGCGCCCCGCTTCTTTCCACCAAGTGGTATCAAACCAGTGGGCTGTCGCAAGGAATGTGGATTCGTAGAATTATCAATATGCATATCATAAAAAAACGAGCATGGCTGTTTCTCGCGTATATGCCCTGAGCCGAGCCGATTCAAAGTCCAGCGAGGAATACTAACCGGAAGTACCAGCCACCAATAAGTCGACGGAATTATTCGTGATCCAAGGAAGGGACTCCGCACGTCCATGGACAAATTCAGCGTTGGTGATCATCTTCTTGGCGTACTCCAACATGGGTTTCGAAGGGTCAACTCCTACCACGCGATCGAAGCGTCCTTGACGGACAAGCTCAGCGCTGACGATGCCCTACATCAACTTTGGCTTTCAGCTTTCAACAATCGCTGGCCCTTTCATATCATCATGCTAATCCATCAAGTTCGGGATGAAAATTCACTCAACTGTTCCGCAACCCAAATCAATCGCCAGGTCTCCCGAAGCTTGATGATAGTCCATAATCGCCTGGTATAACTCAGGTGGATATGATGGCCTGTAGCTAGCATAGTTCTCAACAGAGTACGAAGGTGTAGCAAATGTTTCGGCCATGTCTTGTGATTGATTTGATTATAAAACAGGAGTGTTCCTGCTAATACTTCTGCGATTTAGTGGTTTGATTTTGGTTTGGTGCGTAGTTGATTTGGCCTCGCTCGTTATCAGGCGAATAGGAAGTAAGTTGAATGACAATGATGATAGACTGAGAGCCTCTGGAATGCAGTTGTATAGATAATTAGGAGCCTTGCTCTGGGCGCATACTCCCTGTCCCTGGGGCCTACACTATGTGGCTTCTTTTTTACTTGCAGGCCGACCCGGAAGTTGAGGATTAAGGATAAGCACCCGAGGCCATGAAATCTGATGGATTCTCCATTGAGTCTGGTTCTACAAACAAACTAGGACGCCCGATCACTGACCCACACCGGCATCTTATCCGGCCTGTATTTATAATTGCTGATGATTGGTAACATCATCAATTGACGAACTTCGGCCAGGGGTGTGGGGGCAGGAGGTGTGAATGGTTCACGACCAATAATATGTATACTGAAGTTGAACAGAGTTGAACTAGAAATTTACAATTGAAATTTGAGATCGGCATCCGAGGGGAACAAGAACTGCGACTGAAGGACATGTCAGATTACAGGGGCCAGATTGGCCCACTCGGCTTAAATTTAATGTACCAAGCTCACTTGCATGATGGTGAAAGCCGTAAATCAACGTTTTACGGTTGATGTACACGAAGAGGACGAGGCTTGTCTCACCGACCGATCTCAAGCTTGAGTAGGTTTGTTCAGGTGGGCACAGTGCTATGAACACGGTGAAATTTTCAACCAAAGGAATGAAGCGTGACGGAATCGCCATTCACCACGAAACTTCAGCTTTCAAGGCGAAAAGATTTGCATCAGTAAGCAATGCATCATCAAAACATCCACAGTCAAGCTATCATAAATTAGCGGTTTCTTTTCTTCAAAGCAGCTTGTACTAGCTGGTGATGACTTGACTGCCACATTTTCTAAAAGCATTAATGCACTTTGCCATGGCTCTGGAAACAACACTCTACTCGAGCCGCTTAGGCGGATAACTAATGCTTTTTCGAGTATCTTTAAGAGTTCTTGAAACTCAATTTTTCAAGAATCAAAAGCTAGGAATCATCTATAATCTGTGAACGTCTGCCAAGACTTCAAAGAGCTTGAAATCGCTTTCAAGCCTCGCCGAGGGAGGGTGCCGAGTCTATGTAGACAAGAACCGGTGTGAGAAAAAAGGCACTACCAAACGAAAGGTTTACTGGAATCTAGTAAAATAAGGCATTCTGGTGGCTGATAGTATGTGCACCGTCCCAATATTTGCAACTTTTCTAGTCTACGCAGATTCTTGGCTAGTAGTAGTACTCCTGATTGGCTTATGGCCGCCGCTGGTAGAGGTGCTTCTCTGACTGTGGGTCCCCTCAACACGCGATCTACAACGTTATTACCTCCCCTTGAAATGGAATTGTTGAAAGGTCGGTCAGTGACTCAGGCCTACCTTTCTATTTATTACAATTGTGTTGATTCACCTCAGGGAATGGTAGGCTATGGCCAAGGCCAATCGTTAGCTGACGCGTCGTTAACTGGGATTAGGCAAGCGTAGGTTGGCAAGTTCCATCTATTGTACTAGCAGTCAGTTGCCATCAAGAAACGTATTTAGTTAGTAGTGAATTGTTCAAGTAGTACAAAGACCAAGGAGAACAAGTGAAAAACTACACCACCACTGCAGCTCGACCGCAGCCCGGCGAGGTGTTTGCCGGGCAAACCGACCAGCCCCGACCCTGCTAAACCTTGCTGAAATCCGACGTCAGTTAGGCAGGTTTGCAGCCATAGGGTCGGGGTGGTCAAGGAACCGACGCATGTCTGCCCGGCGGACAAGTGGTGGGCCGTCGGCAAGGCGCTGACACCAGAATATTGTCTCAGGGTGCCAAAAGACCCTGGGATTATGGATTCAGGTGTGATTCGGTCGGCCCGCTGGCCTGAGGCAGTCAGGAATCTCATGCCGTGAGATTAAAAGAAATGGGGTCCGGACTGGACTCGGAGTCTCGGCCACTTGATCCATGAAAAAGAATGGCTACTCGGAGGACTCGAACCGAGGGATCCCACCACCAGGATGGCCAAGCAGCTGTCACTACGGTCATCTGCTTGTCGCTTCCGTGTGAAGCGACTG